TCTTGGCCCTGCTAAAGCTTCTAATAATGTTAATCTTTCCTAATGAACTCATTCCTTTTCCATGGCTTCTGGGGTAATGCTTTTTCCTGGTCCTCCCTGTCTGATTGTTCCTTAATTTTATTTACAAGATCATCACCCATTTTCATTTTGCTTAATTTGGGAATACCCCAGGATTCTGTCTTGGACCCTTTTAGTATTATATTTGCTCACTTGGTCATCTTAGGTCCTATGGGTTTAACTATCATCTCCTAAACTTATAGATCTTATCTTAATTTCTCCCCTGAATTTTATTTCCATGTGATCAGCTGCCTGCTGGATGGATCATAAACATCTCCAAGACGGAACTTACTCTTACTCTCTAAAGCCACCCTTCCTTCAAACTCAGCCTGGTGGCCAGGTTTCATTAAGGGTAGAGGCAGTGTAGCACATAGGTAGAAAGAGGACTGGATTTGGAGTTGCAGAACCTGGGTTTAAATCTCTGCTTTGCCACTTATTCCCTTTGTAACCTTGGGTGAGTCACATAAGCTTTGTGATCTGCATTTCCTTGTCTGCCGAATGAAGGGATTGGACTATATGAGAGATCCCTTCCAGGTCTGAATCCATAATTCTCTCTGTGTTCTAATAGCAGGCCATCATAGCCTTGTGTTTTATTTAGGCTTGTTCTTCTGTTTTTGCATTTGGGCTATTTTTGGCACTAAAATGGAATGATATGCTATGCCTTGTTAGTAGAAGCTCCTGGGCAAATATTTCAGTGGCATGACATGGTGGATAGAGTGTTGGACTTGGAATTGGGAGACCTCTTTGCTCACTGAAGTCATTCACAGAGCCCCTTAGAGTTTGCAAAGTGCTTCATGTACGTTATCTTAGTTGAGTCTTCCCCGTAGTACCTACTGGTACAGTGGCTAGGGCACTGGGCCTGGAGTCAGGAAGACCCAAAGCTGCCCCCAGACACTTACTGGCTGTGTGATCCTGGGCAAGTCACTTTACCTCTATTTGCCTTAATTTCCTCATCTGTAAAATGAGGATAGTAATAGCACCTGCCTCTCAGAGTTATAGTGAGGATAAAATGAGATGATATTTGTAAGCTGCTTTGCCAACCTTGAGGTGCTTTAGAAATGCTAGTCGTCTTCATCATTACGTGTGAATTTTTATTATCATTATTAATTTAATAAACATATACTGAAGACTAATTATTTGATCATATTAAATGGTGCTATGACTGGCTCAGCAGTCAAAAGCCTGAGGATGAGGTCACCTTTGTGACCAAGTTATTTCCCCCTTGGGATTAGACTAAATGATTTTTAAAACCCCTTCTGGCCAGAGATTCTATAATCTTTCTGTGGCCTCTTATTGCCTCTTAATACTTTTGACCTGGAGTCAGGAAGACCTGAATTCAAATCAAGCCTCAGACATTTACTAACTTTGTGACCCTAGGTAAGTCACTTTGCCTCTGTTTGCCTCAGTTTCCTCAACTGCAGAATGGGGATAATAATAACACCTAACTCCTGGGGTTGTTGTGAAGATTGAATATTTGTAAAAGTGCTTAGCATAGTGCCTGAAAAATAGTATGCACTATATGAATACTTTTTTTCTTCCGTACTCTTCCCTTTTCCAGAAAACAAATAAATTTTTAACCTCATTTGTTTCCTTTATATGACAATAAACTGTTAAAGCCTAGGAGTGCCTGGCAGTTTCATAGATTATGCAGTAGAGCTGCAACAAGTATTTGATATCTCTTTGGCGATAAGACTGGCTAGTTCCAGTTGGCCCATGTAGCTCCTCCTCCCTCCCTCCCTCCCTCCCTCCCTCCCTTCCTTCCTTCCTTCCTTCCTTCCTTCTTCCTTCCTTCCTTCCTTCCTTCCTTCTTCTCCTTCCTTCCTCCCTCCCTCCCTCCTCCCTCCTTCCCTCCCTCCCTCCCTCCCTCCCTCCTCCTTCCTTCCTTCCTTCCTTCCTTCCTTCCTTCCTTCCTTCCTTCCTTCCTTCCTTCCTTCCTTCCTTCCTTCCTTCCTTCCCTCTGTCCTCTCCCTTTGTCCACGCAGGGAATCATACCCTTCCCTGGGGATACTCTGCCCAAAAGAATGTAAATTTTGATCGTTATAACCTTGTGAAATCTCTTGGGGTTTATGGACTAGATTACTTTTTTAAGGACCATGTCTTAAACCCAAATCACTCTGGCTCTCATTGATTGGGCAACAGTAGGTCCCAGGCCAAGCGTCACTTGGTCATTGTTTGAGCTCTCATGGCTCAGAGTGAGTGTAAATAGCAGTTGTTTCTGTTTTGGCCAGAAACCCTAAGGGTCTTCCCCTCCCAGATTGATTTTTCATTTTGTTTTTGACTAGGTAAAAGAAACCATTCTTTGCCCCACTTCTTACCTAGTCTTAATCACTGAATGGGCCTTGCCTCAGTTAAACTGAGACCTGAGAAAGACCTTAGCTTAAAAAGGCCAAGGCCTTCCACTGCATTCAGGGCTGACTCCAGCCCTCCTGATTTATGTCTTGCCACTGGACCCAGATGGCTCTGGAGGAGAGAATGAGACTGGTGATTTTGCACAGCCTTTCTTCACTTAAATCCAGTTCATTTGCATTTCATGACATCACCTTCCTGATTTTGTGGTCCTCTTCAAGAATGAAGGACAAACAACTCACGAACAACGTGCTGTGAATTCCCTGGGATTTGACATTCACTTTTGAGAAGTGCTATTCTGGACTAGTTCCCAAAATCTAACTTGTAATCAGGCTTAGAGAGGGTCTCCTTAGAAGTCTTTTGCTAAGAACAATATTAATAAGGGAACTGTGGTCTGATTACCTAAGTGAGGAGTGCTTCCCTGCCATTGTCCTCTGAGAAAAAGAGAAATGAAGTCTCTTCTTCCTAGGCTGTGACTAACAATCAGGACTAGCACTGGGAGGATGCAGGGACCCCAGACACCCAGAAACATGTCTTCTTTTTGGCCCCTTCCTACATGTTCAGGCTTTGATGATATTGTAGGGAGTTGAGAAGTCTGATGTTTCACCCTTCCTCTAGAGGATTCTTTTCCTAGAACAGTTCTTTTTGGATACCTGAATGATAGTGACCATGGAGAATCACTTCTTTCCCTTTAATTCTGTGTTACATTCATGACTCCGTGTGTGGATATATAAGGGGTTCATGAACCCTTTCACAGTACTTATTAGTGCTATTGACTAGATATAGTCTAAGATGCAGGAATGATGAGTTTGAGCAATAATGCAGTAGACTATGTACTGTTATGCTTTTGAAATTGTAATATTTTAAACATATTTTTAATGATTTTGAAGTGTTTTCTTAAGTATACCAAGGAGTGATTCTTAGAACTATTTAGCTTTAAGAAAGAGTGTGTATATAGTAGCTAAAGTGGGACAAGAATGGAAGATGGAAGCAGTATACACATAGAGAATGACATTTGCAGAGATTTGTGAAAAATATGATTACTTTTTCCACATATACATAGGCATGGACAAGGATATCTATTGCAGAATCTTAAATGTTTCTAAGGGACATCAGAAGTCATCACCTTCTACTCAGGTGATGGTAACTTCTGCAGCATTCTGACAAATGATTATCCAGTCTTTGAACTTTTTTCATGACAAGGAGCTTTTCCTGAGGTAGCCATTCCCATTTTTGGAGGGCTCTGATTATTAAATTCTTCCTCTGTATTGAGTTTAAATCTGCCTCTATGTAATAACATTTCCTGACTCCACAATGTTTCACCGTCTAGCTTCCATGCCCGTAATACATTCCCTCCTCACATCTGCCTCCTGGCTTCCTTGGCTTCCTTCAAGTCTCAGCCAAAATTCCACTTTCTTTGAGAAACCTTTATTGATCCCCCTTAGTGCTCGTATCTTCCCTCTGAGATTATCTCTAGGTTATCTTGCATATATGTGTTTGTAAATAATTGTTTGCATGTGGTCTCTTTCATTAGCTTTGTGAACTCCTTGAGGCTGGGGACTGTTTTTGCCTTTCTTTGTATCTCCAGTTCTTATCACAGTGCCTGGCTCTGGACTCATCTTGCACCCATTGGTCCTAATTCTGCGATCTGGGGCTAAGCAAAACAATTGCTCCCCTTTTCCCATGACAGTCCCAAGACAGAGAGGGACGTGAAGACAGTGATCACATTTCCCCTAATTCTTCTCATTTTCAGACTAACCATCCCAGTTCCTTCAGTTGGTCTTTCTTTGGCATGATTTTCTGACCACACGTTATACTGGTTGCCTTCCTCTGGACTTGATCCAGTTTGTCAGTATCATTCCTAATATGTGTGGTCCAGAATTCAACACATTACTCGGAGGTCTGAGCGGGGTGCTATGCAGTAAGGTTATTATTTCCTTGTTTTAGATAATATACTTTTTTCCATATAGCTAAGGTTACAGTGGGAAAGTCATTTCTTTTCCAGTTGTCACACCAAACTCTTGGTCATATTGACCTTTACAGGCATGAAAAATCTTGAATTAGAGGTCAGCTGTTTCAACTCAATATATCTGTTTCCTTCAGCATCCCTAACAAGTTGATCACTCTACCTTAGTGATAAGATATGACCTACCAGTATATATCCCATTTCGTACTTGGATAGCTTTGTTAGAAAGTTATTCGTTATATTGAGCTGAGTGTGCCTGCCTGTAGCTTTTCTCTGTTGCTCCTAGTTCTTTCCTAGAGCCAAGCAGAACAAGTTGAATCCTTCTTCCACTTGACAGTTTTTCAGTAATTTCAAAATTACAGTCCTAAAAACCTTGTTATCCTCTACCCTTTGCCCCAAGACATCATTTACAGGATAAACATGGCCAGTTCCTTCAGTCAGTTCTTGGTTGGCTAGATCTCCCATTCCCTTACCACCCTGAGTATATGCCTTTTGACCTGCTTGTAAATGCCTTTTTCTAAGTTATGGTGCCCATAAGTATCATTTGGTAAAATGACTTCAATTAACTAATATAGTATGTGCTCCACACATAGCAAATTTGGGATAAAAACACTTTTTTCTTCTTGTTTAGCACTATGTATATATTTGGAGGTTTCAACAGCCTTCTGCTCAGCGATATCCTGATGTTTACAGCAGAAAGGTGTGAAGCACATCAAAGTGAGGACACTTGTGTAGCAGCAGGCCCTATCGTCCGATGTGTGTGGAGTGTGAATTCATCTCAGTGTATCCCTTGGGAATTGGCAACTGAAGCGCAAGAAGAGAGGACCAGAGCAGAATGCTTTTCAAAAAGAAGTATGTGCTGTGCTGCTTCTTTGCTTACAAAAAGTAACTAGTTCTAGTTTTATTTGTTGGTGGTGGGTTTTTTGGTGTTTTTGGTTTTTTGCTTTTTTGTAAGTTAATTTATGGAATCTCTTTATAAGCTGTTTAACTGTTTTAAAATTGTGAAGCAGTTTAGTATTAGTACGTTTGTGTTGTGAACTGAGACACCATATGATGTTTGAAATCTCGTTTGGGTCCTCGAAACTAAATTTGTTTAACTTGTTTAACAAAATAAGCTTTCCTAGAAATTTCCCACTGGTCCTTGTATCTTATTGAAGTGGGAGCAGCAAAAGTAGGCTGGGATATAAAGGAAAGAAAGGTCCAAGAGATGTGTGTATTTCAAGGTTCCCAGACATCATTCCCAAGCTCTTTGGAATGGTGACTACGGTGAGATGATGGAGACAACACCCCCTGTGAATTATCACGGGTCGGAGAGTATCATAGATCACCACGGGAGCCCCTAGTACTTGGTTTCCATGAAGACAGCTTGGAAAAGTGTTGTGCCAACTCATCATTGGCTGGATGGTAGCAAGTTGCCTTAAGCAGCTTCCTGTAATCCAAAAACCTCAGGAAAAGGAATTCTGATTATTAACATAGGAAGAAATAGAGTTAGTGAAGCTGAATCCAAAAGATAAGAAGAAAGAGCACTTAAAGTAAAAAACCTTATGAAATAACAGGAGAAGTTAAATTCTTATAGTTCCCACTTTGTGCCCCCAGACCACAACCTGTTGCATGCCAGAGCCACAGATTTCAAGGGTAAATGTGTTAACTCCTGAGAAAAAAAGGAATTTGAAAATAAGCTGGGACCAGTTTTTCCTTCATCCCTCTTATTTTTCCGAAATTTGCCAGCAGAGACTCAACCAAACTGACCCTTATAACTTCAGAGTTGAGTAGCAGTGGAGGGAAGAAAGGCTAAAGAGTGAGGACAGAAGCCAAAGGCAAGTGACTGGGAATATAAAAGAAGACTTGAATAAATATGTAGTTCACAGGCAGATAAACTAACTGAGAGGATCATGAAAAGAATAAGTAAAACCTCAAAGAAAACCCAAATCACCATAAGCTAGTATTAGAATGATAAAGGAAAACGATTGAAATTTACCTGACTGGAACCTTCAGGACCACTGAAAGACAATAAAATCAACTCCCCCTAATTTTTATTTTTTGGCAAAAGGCCAGACACTTCAAAACAGAAATAAAACTTTTAAAAGAAGAAATTAGGAATAAATTTAGGGAAGTAATCAACATTTTCAATGCAGAATTAAAAAAACAGATGACAGAGTTGAAAAAAAATCAAAACATACTAGAGAATCTTTCCAAAGAAGTAGGATGTGAGATAAGGAAATAAAAAACTTGGAATATTAAAATAAAACAAGCCAATTTTTCAAAATACCTATGAGAAAGACCTTCAGATGTAAAGGAAAGCTATCTGAATAATCCAGGAATAATCTGCAGTAATGAGAACTCAGAGGAAAGAATGAAATGGTATATTCCAAAAAGCAAAGGAGCTCAAGTTCCATATGGCTACTTTCACACAGCACTGTGTCCATCTGATTGTTACTTCCTTCACGAATTGATCTTTCTGAGATTGAGGCCTATCAGAAAATAGAGGCCAGGGCAATCTACAAAGGAAGTAGCAAAGAAATAGTATGTAAGAGGGAGCTCAGATTTGGACGTTCAGGTTCTTTACCCTTATTAGGCATGCAGAAGATAAAGAAGGAATAGCTGAGGGTATCATCTGTGGGTCAGAAAATAAAATAAACAATAGGCTGTCAGAGAAGAGAAATAGCAAAGAGAACAAAGTGAAGAAAAGATTCTTGGAAAAGGAGAAAGCTTCAAAATATTACCTAAAATAGACTGGAAAGGAAATGAATAGGGAAGATTTTTTTAAACCCCTCAAGTAACTGGATAGGGAAAGGGAAAAGGCCAAAGATTGGGGAAAATTGGAAAAATTGGGTTAAGTCAGAGAAATGAGTGTGGGGAGGGAAACCTTGTGGGCATAAACTAGCATCAAAATAGGATAAACAGAATTAATTGCAATAACAAAGTATTGAATTAATTTTTTTTACTTTTTTATAAGTTTTTATTGATATTTTCTATTCAGAGTACTGACTTGAAAGAAAAAAAAGGATTAAAATAAAAAGAATTAATGAAGAACGCAAGTCTAACAATCATAATTTTAAATGTGAATAGATCAAACAGCCCAATAAAATGAAAGAGAATTGAAGAATGGGTAAGAAATCAAAACCCAACATTCTTCTATATATAAGAAACACGTCTAAAATATAAAGACACATTTTTTAAAAAAGGAAAATGAGAGGCTGGGGCAGAATTTAGTTTGCATTAAGAGTTTTAAGAAAAGAGAAGTTGTAATCTTACTATCTGATGATAAAAATTCACAGTGATAAAATAAAAATTATAGTGTATACGTATTGGAACTGGGAGCTACATTATTCCTCAAAGGAACCATTTAGATAGCTATCCAATATCTATATTAAACATATACATCAAATGGCATAGCATTTAATTCATGAAGGAAAGTTTAAATGAATTGCAGAAGGACAGATATTAACACAATATTCAGAGATTTAGAGTTCTTTCAGAGTTAGAAAAACCTAAGAGGAAGATAAATAAAAAAGGACAATATAGACCTGAAAAAACTGTTGGAGAACTTAGATCTCAAGGATCTTTTGAATAAGAACATTAAAGAATGTACCTTTCTTAGAATCACATGATACCTTTACAGAAATGGACCATGTACTAGAACACAGAGAAATTACAAATACATTTTTTAAAAGCATAAATACTAAATATACCGAACTGTTCCTCTACCACCTTCTTTAAGCAGCCTTTCCTCCTTTGAACTCCATTCAATCCATGTTTATCACTCAATTCAGACCCTGGTGTCTTTTATCTCTATAGATGCCCAAAACATTATCCTTTCTTCTTCACTGAGTTAAGTGCCTGACTTGTCTTTCTCTACTCACCATATCCTGCCCTCATACTAGAGGATTTTAGTGTACATCTTGATGCTCCCTAAAATATTCCAGCTTCCCAGTTTCTCAGTCTACTCAGTTCCATGTCCTAATTCTTCACTGCACCTCAGCTACACCCAGAGAGATGGTCATATTCTCGATCTTGCTGTTACCCACAAGTGTTTTACTTCGTTGTTTGCAAACCCTGAAATTACTTTATATGATCTAATGATCTATGTCTATATGATCATCATCTTTTATCATCACTTGTTTCCCTTAGTCTCATGACCCCTCATTCTGCTTGTCATTCTTACCCTGAACTCCATTCCTGTCATTCCTTTCTCTTTCTTGATTCCTTGGTGAACCCAGTCAGCTGTTCATTATCCTTTACTCCCAAATCCCTTCCCTATCTTGTCTTAACACAGATTTTGTCTTGTCAAAGCCCCAACCCTGGATTACGCCCACCATCCAACTTCCTGTTTTCCTTATTCATGTGCTGCTTACTGGAAAAGGAGAAAATTATGAAACCACATTGATTGGGTCCACCACAAATATGTATCAGCTTCAGCTGGGCGCTCACAAAGTAAACATTCTATTCCTCATTGAGTTGTCATTCTGTTCCTGAAAGTATCTGTTCCCATGTCTTTTCATCTCTCCTTAAGCTTAGCACAGGATTCCCTTACCTCACCTTCTTAGCTAATGACCTTGCCTCACGCTTCACTGAAAAAATTGAGACCATTCACTGAGAGCTCCCTGTTTTCCCCTCCTCCTCATCTTATAAATCATTCAGACATCTTATCCCACCATCCCCTCCTTCATTCCATTCTCTTTTTAAAATTTTTATTCAATATTATTTTAAGTTCCAAATTCTCTCTCTCTGTACCCCCATCCCCCAAACATTGAGAAAGCAAGAAATAAAATACCCATTACACATATGAAGTCATGCAAAATGTATTTCCATGTTAGCCATGTTACAGAAAAAAAAACGAGAAAGAAAGAGAAATATACTTTCATTTGCACCGAGTCCATCAGTTTTCTATCTGGAGGTGGATAATATTTTTTTATCGTAAGTCCTTCATCGTTTCTTACAGCACAATAGTTTTCAATCACATTTGTATTTGGTAACTTAGTTCAGTGATTCCCCAATTGATGAGCATCCCCTCAGTTTTTAATTCTTTGCCACCACAAAAAGCACTGCTATAAATACATATATATATGTGTGTATATATATATATTTATGTATATATTTTTTTTACATGTGGATCATTTGTTGGGTCAGAGACATGCACATTTTGTAGCTTTTGGGGCATAGTTCCAAATTGCTTTCCAGAATGGTTGCGCTAGTTCACATTTCCACCAACAGTGCATCAGTGTACCTATTTTCCCACTTCCTCCCTAGAATTTATCATTGTCTTTTTTTCTTATCTTGGCTAATTTGATGGGTGCAAGGTGCTACCTCCGAATTGTTGTAACTTGCATTTCTCTTCATATTAGTGCTCTAGAACATGTTTTCATATGATTTTTGATAGCTTTGATTTCTTTCTCTCTTCATATCTGTTGGCCATTTATCAATTGGGTTCTTTCCCTACATTCTCCATGAAAGAGGTTGCCTTTCTCCTTTTGGAAATCAACCTCTGTTGATGCATTATTGATACCATCCTTCTCCTTTTGCCTTGGCAGATTGATCCCACTATTATCCCCATTCCTTTCTCTCTTATCTTCAGTCTCTTCACGTCATGGCTCCTTCCCTTTTCCCTATAAAATGTTCATATCTCCTCATCTTTAAAAAAACATCATTTGATGTTATCATCTTGACAAGTCATTACGCTATTATTTTTCTTCCCTTTTGCGTCTAGACAGTTAATTCCTACTGTGTGCAGAGCACCTTCCTAAGTGTTTATGGAATTACTGTAGATGAAGACCATTTATATTCTACTAGGGACAAATTACACAAACCCACACATAAAGGAAATCCTTAAGAAACAAACAAACAGACCAAAGACCAGACTCCCTTGCTACTTTTTTAAGATCTCTGTAAGCATGGATTAGTTCCTAGGTGAATTAGGGTGAAGTTTCTTGGAACAAATTCACTTTTGTGTGAATTGTAGGATAAAGCTTTTGATCTCCTCTGTTGACTATATGCCAGGAGAACAGAACTGTCTCTAGTTAAATAAGTCTCTTTTCTTACCAGCTGCTGATCATGACAAGTGCGATCAGCACACGGACTGTTACAGCTGTACCGCCAACACGAATGACTGCCAGTGGTGTAATGATCATTGCGTCTCCATGAACAGCAACTGCACTGAAGGCCAGGTGAGAAATCCCTAACCCTTTGTTTCCAGGAGCAGGATCTTCGGGTTGCGCCTCAGCAGCGACACCCTGAGGGCACAGTTTTCGCTCTCGTGTACCTGCCTTGTTGATGGTAGGGCTGTAGCCACGGCTACCGAGTTATTTTAAAACGTGCAAGACACCAATATGTGTTTTTTGAATTCTCCAGGTTTCTTTTTTGGAAAATATTTCTGCCTCTCATCCCTGTTAGTTGCTGGGGCTTAGTTGCAGTGGCTGCTGTGGAGTCAGGAACTTGGAGTTGAGTCTTATCTTTTGTAGTATTTGTTATGTGATTGTGGGCAAGTCATTCCTTCTTCTCCTCTGTTTTCTCTTTGGTGAAATGGAATAATAACATTGTATTATATGTAACATCTTAAAAGAAGAGAGAAACTCCGTGAAGCAGATAAAAGAAAGGAGGGCATTGCAGAAATGGCAGCTAGATTTGAATATGGCAGGTAGTGTGTTGTGTGTGAGGGGCAGAAAGAAGGCCAGATTGGCAAGATCACAGAGTAAGAGAGGGGGAAGTGAGACTGTAAATAGAGGCATGTTAGCAATAAGAGAACAGGAGCTGACACCTTTGTAAAGGTGATCTGACACTTATTGTATTGCTGTGATATGTTTGGTGGTTGTGACTGAAAAATTAAATGTTATTTTGTAAAATAGTAATTGTTACAATATGATATCTTCCCTAGACTTGGAAGGGACCTTAGAGAGCATCCTGTTTAAACCTCTCCTTCTCTGAGGACATTAATTCCCAGGGAGGTTACTTGATTTGTTCAAGGGCACACGAGTTAATGACAATGCCAAGACTGGGACCTGAAGGTCTCTTGATTTTTGTCACAGTAATCTTTCTGCTATGACTTACTCCTGTCCATTTCTTTTTTTTTTTCCTGTCCATTTCTTGATTCTTTCATTGTTTACTCCTCCTGACTCATCTTCCCTCTATCCTGTCCCCACCCATTTCTCCAGGCTATAATTTTCTGCAGAATTATACACTAATCATTAAATTTGTGAACAGACATTCTAGGAAAATGCTTAAACCTGTCTCGTATTTTAGGTTTCTATTTCCAAATATGAGAATTGTCCAAATAATCCAATGTATTACTGTAACAAGAAGACAAGTTGTAAGAGCTGTGCCATGGACCAGAACTGCCAGTGGGAACCCAGGAATCAAGAATGTGTTGCTTTGCCTGGTAAGTATGGATAGAGGTAGCTAACTGCCTATGAATCCATTGACTTCATCCTAGGTACTTTACTTGTCCCACAGATTTTATGTTGAACTATAGGGGAGGAAAGAATTGATTCCTGTATTTCTTAATAAAAAATAATGTGAGGTTACTGTCTTTGGAAAGAATTATAGCATCACTTATTCTAATTCCCATAATCTCTGTATTACTTGTTAAATAGTACGTGTGGCCCAATAATACTGGAAACTAGGTGTACTTTTCTAATCTGTGAAAAATAATGCTTTGGACTCCACTTTTCACCTCAATTGACCATTAAGAAATAGAAACTATTAATACTAGTAATCAGTCTCTTCAATACTTTTTCTTTCAGGTTTACACCAGATTGGGGTTTGAATGGCTAAAGGTTTCTCTGAGGGAGTGAAGTGGTAGCAGGGGGAAGAAAATGTCAGCTATGGTTCTCAGGCTTATTTCTGTTCTGGAGGCCTAAAAATGACTAGATTAATTTTAGGTATCCTGAGAATTTAGTATTATCTAGTTAGTCTCTTTGGGCATCTGGTTTTACTCAAAACTCTGGGCTGTTCTGGTAGGTATTTGAGCCTCTATAATTGAACAAATCCCCCAAAATATTCAGGAAAGAGATTTTTGTAGCTAATCTTCACACCTCAAGTTATTGTAGAGGCAGTGCACCAGGCGGATAAATCTGCTCCCTGCTAGGCTTCTGAACTGAGTTCTAACACATGGTTTTGTTTTGTTTGTTTGTTTTTGAGGCAATAGCTGGTGAGTGTATGAGGCTGGATTTGAACTCAGGTCCTCCTGCCTCCAGGGCCTGTGCTGTATCAACTTTACCACCTAGCTGCCCCAAGCTTGTTGAATATGCTTTAGACTTACCATCCTCACCTTGCCTTACCGTAATGGGTCTCCTTTCCCTTGTCCTTGTGTGACCTCTGCCTAGCTGGATTGCTGGTATGATCTGAGAGGCCTGTTCCTCTTGGTAATAATTCTGATTCTTCAGAGGTCACTTAACCTGCTTGGTTCATCTCATCTCCACATCACCCAACAGAGAAATATCTTTTGTTCAATGCCCTCTGTGTGCTCGAGGGGATTAGAAGTAGGGAACCCCTAAATTTCAAGAATCATATTGTACAGCCAGTTCTCTGTAGTCCTTCAGACTGGATTCTTCCAGCCCGTAGGTAGCCTCAGCAGGATCAACCAAGAATTACCAAGTTCTGGGGCAGAGCAGCACGTGAGAGTGTTGTCTTCTCTCACTTCTGTGGACAAGGCAGCACAGTTCTTCACAGTGTAGAGCTAGGCTTGCTCCTGGGCTTGTTTGAAAGTTGGGGCCAGATTTGGCAGTGGCTTCAAATATTGCTGGAGTGGTTTTTTTCCTGTTTTTATCCTTAAAATTTTATTATCCTTCCCCACCACTCCTTTGCCTCTGAAAACATACTACTCAGAGTTTTCCAAAACTTTCCCTGAGAATACATGAATTTTGCCCGCTTTTGTAAAACTTTTTTCCCTTTTTCTTTTTTAACACAAGAAAATCTGTGGTGCTGGCTGGCATTTGGTTGGAAATTCATGTTTAAAAATTACGACCACAAAAGACAATTACGACAACGCTAAATTGTCCTGCAGGAACATGAATGCTTTCCTGGCTTCTCTCACCACCCAGAAGAAAGTGGAGTTCGTTCTTAAACAGTTGCGCTTAATGCAATCAGCACAATCGCTGGTGAGTCCTGGGACACCCACTGCATGTATTGGTTTGGGGTATAGGAGATGGCATTCTTCGACTCAAGATTCTTAGGAGGAAAATTGGAGGTTTTCCATTTTTTAAGTTGTACAGTAGACTGAAATTCAGTCATGTTTTAATTTGATACTTTCCTCTGTCTGGTGCTTCTTTTAAGATGTTCTTATGAAAGGCTTTAGAAACTGTGACTTCATTTACCTTGTAGATAACATTTGAAGCTGGGAAATGATTTAAATAAGTTGCACACACATTACAAAAGAATCAGGATGTATTAACATCTGTTTTTAGTGGTAGATGATGACTTTTATATGCTTTCTTCCTAGATTCTTCTGGGTGGGATGGCTGGTTAATTCGTGACCCGTTGTGTTGAGCTAATTGGAGCTCTTCAAATTAAAAGCTCTCTGAGACTACTGTAGTGATAGCAATGTTTCTATTGAAACAAGATTCAGCTGGGTCAGAAGCTCCTTCTTGGGGTAGTCTACCTTACATGGGGCAGAGTAAGCCATATGCTACACGTTACCCCAGAAAAGTTCCATCCTATTCTCCCTTACTCATCCTATCCCTCCAGACCCAGCTGGTGAGCACTGTGAAATTCCGTGTCAGAGCTTCATCCTATTCCCTTAAAACTTTAATACAGTGATAGTTCGATTAACCAATTTTCTAGCAATAATCCTCCTTTTATTTTTTATTTTTTGCTAGGCAGTGGGGTTAAGTGACTTGCCCACGGTCACACAGCTAGTAAGTGTTATGTGTCTGAGGCCGAATTTGAACTCAGGTCCTCCTGAATCCAGGGCCAGTGCTCTATCCACTTTGCCACCTAGCTGCCCTAGTAAACCTCCTTTTAACAAGATCAGACTGTATAGCTTACATTTTGTCTTTGTCTGGCAGTCACTATGGAGTTTGAAAAGAAGGTAGCTGTGATGCTAACCTGTTAAAAGTATGCCAGATTCTTGGTCTGGCTGAGCAGAGGACTGTCATAGTCACTTCACACATCCTCCTCACCAGAGTAGGGGAAGTGCTACTCTGACTACATAGAACTTTTCTAGGAAGGGAAGGAGAATCTTACTACAGCAAAGAGAAGGTATTCACACACTAGAATATATCCCTGGGCCTCATATTTCTGCTTTTGATGATAACATTTCTAACAATAAAAATGCATCTCCTTGGTAACTTATCCTTTTTGACAGGAGTAGTCCTTCTATGCCTCTAGAAGTTCAAATCCCCTTCAGAGAGGTTTTTAGTGTAACTAAACTGCCTGAGAGGAGGTTTGAGGATAGAGGGATAGAAGCAAGCAAGTGTGAGGACACTGGTTACCTCGGGCAAAGGAAGGGGAAAGATAATCTATAGGCAAAATCTTTGCCAGTTCCCGGTTTCTCCTATGTTGGCCCTGACCCTAGGTATGACTAAGACGTTTTTGGAGGTACAACAATTCTTTTATTTCCTTTAGGAACATTACAATGCTAGGAGGAGCATTTTAATAAATAATGTGCTTTAAATCCCATTTTCTCTGAGTTCATCAGAGACAAAGTTTAAGCTTTCTTAAAATGGACTTCTGTCAAGAAAGTAAAAAACATAAAAGCATAAAAATGGATAATTTATAGATGTTTCCTCTTCCTAACTTAACTAAAGCTTAGCAATAGGTTTGGCTAAAGACTTAGCTTACTAGGATCTCTTAGTCTTTAAGTCCTTTTTCTTTCTTTAACTCTCAAAGCTCCTTTCTTTCACCATTGAATGTTACCCACCCTTATACCCCTCTTTGCTTCCTCCTCTCTACTTTTGTCCCTTTGTCCATTGGAGAGGCTAGGAGCTCCAGCCTGGTTCCCCAACCAAGTAGAACAGTATATTATTGGTTTATGGCCTAGAACCTTTGAAGAAAAAAGTTATTATATGTCAATAGCTATGCATTTATTTTATCAATGACAGGAAAGATTAGTGACATCAGAGATGTGCAGGGGTCATTCATAATTTTCTCACCTACAAAATGAAGGGGTTGGACTAGATCTCTGTAGTCCTCTTCATCTTATGATCTCATAGTCTATCCATATGATTCTTGGAGGTCTTGGCAACAGCAGATTGTCTTTGAGGAATTCCATCCTTTCTTAAAATCCAGTATTAACAGCCCTTTTCATCTTTCATATTATCTCACTATAAATCACATTACTATTTTCTGATGGTAATTCGAAACTTTGGAGTTGTTCTAAACTAATTGAGATTGAGACAAATGAAAAGCTGGAGAGACAGAGTTTCTGGTTAATTAATAATCAATTTATTAATTAGACTAGTTGATAATCAAAAAATTGATGGTCAGTGGTTTCTCTTGGTAACCAAAGGCAAAACCATGGAGATCATCAAATGCTTAAATACCTTTGGAAAAGGAAGTACCCTAACAAATGAAAATCAGCCTTGATTGGTGAACAATTAGTGAGGGGATGGACTTTCAAAAGAAGAAGTGGGCTGAAAGCCTTTTGCTCCTTCTGCTGAGAACATGGTTTGAGCATGAGACTCAGGCACCTTTAGCAATCAGGGCAAAAGAATCCAACTCCACCCAGACTACTGTGGTTGGTTTTCTCCTTCATGAGCTGGATTACCCTAAACCCCAGTGGAGGGGAGCAATAAAATGGGCTTATTTCCTAAGAAAAAGAATTCATTTATATTAGATTCTGTTTACACTCTAAACAGAAGTAAGCTGTCCTAGTTAGGTAGGGTCCTACTCAAGATTGAAGAGTGTGTTCCCAGAGAGTTTGGGCAATCAGTCAGTAATGTCCTTCAATAACTAACTGACTAGCCTATAGGGGCTAGTCCTTGAATAAGGAAATAAAGAGAAAAAAACCTTATTCCTAATTAAAAATTGGCTATTAATATAATAGAAAAATAATCATTCCTCTCAAGATACAGTTAGCCCTCTTATTCTTTCTCCCTATAATCTCTTAGTTTTTACCCTTTCTTTCAATTTTGTTATCTACCTTGTTCAAGCCCTTCTTACTATATTCCTAGATTACTCTAATATCTCTTAGTGACACAGTTTGGGGGTACTGGGAATCCCAAAATGTCAGAGTACAGGACAGTGTCACCTGGAATGAATTCATGCACTCAAACTGTCTTCCAGTCAAGTGGCAAAGTTTATTGTGATGCTTGTAGAAGCAGGCAAAGTTCCTTAGGGAACTTGAAAGCTAATGAGGATGATGCTAATGCTTATATGCAGAAAGGGACAGGGAAGGGAATGTATGGGAAAATTTAGGGAGTCAACAGAGATAGCTCTGTTGATACCAGATATTGGGGGAGAAGGGAGAAGGAAGTTCTGTTCCAGGAACCAGAGACAGAGTCCTTGGGCAGGTACCCTGTGCCTGCACTGATAGATTTTATCTGAGGAATTACAAAGTCAGCCTGTATGTTCCTGTAACAAGAAAAGAATTTCCTACAGGGGTCCACTGAGATACTGGATTGCTTTCAGAGATATGGTTTTGCCTTTTGGGGTCCAGTTCCCATCACCTCATCACTAGCAGAGTTTGAAGATACTAGTCTTCTTACAGTCTTGCCCTGGGCCTATTCTAGCCTCTCCTAGACTCACAGAGCTATAAGGGTAGAGTGAAGTCATAGTAATATAGGATTTTAGAAGTGGGAGTGACTTTAGAGATCATTTAGTGCAGAAGTTCTTAACTAGGGTCCATGACATTTTTTTAAAAATGTTAAACTATATTTTGATATCATTGATTTCCTTTGTAATCCTGTGTATTTTATTTTATGCATTTAAAATATCCCGAAGAGTACCTAAGCTTAACCAGACTGCCAGATGGGTCTGTGACAAAAAAAAATAGTTAATACCTGATCTGTCTTAATCTTTTCATTTTACAAATGTAGAAACTTAGGCCCATAGATAGAAACTGATCTACTAAATGGTAGTAACTAGAGAAGCTGAGGTTTGAGCCCATAGGCGCTGACTAAATCCAGTGGTCTTTGTAATACGTCAAGTCTAACTCCTTGTCTAATGGATGAATTCTCCTTGCCATTAACTGATTAATATTCTTAACATACTCTTTTCATCATATCCCTTTCCTGCTTAAAAATCTACAATGACTTGTTTTTATTTATCAGGTCAAATCTGAATTACATGCATAGTCTACTGTTAACTGACTGTACTGCACCTATTCTACATCATCTGTCACTAGTGTATCTTTGCTATCTAATCATTCCGTTCTCTGCGTATACTTTTTTGTACTCTCTTCCATGTCTTTACTTACATTGTTGCTTTCACTTGGTAAGAACTCCCTCTTTTCCACCACTTCCCTCCTATTTTTTCTTCATATTTCACTGCAAGACTACTTTCTGCACTGTCTTCCCTCATTAACTATAGAAATAATGTTGTTTTACTTTTTATTTCCTTAGCTCTTATATCTACAGTTCACCTCATGTTATCATGTAGATGGAGCATGTCATCTTCAAATTATTTTCTAGCTATTAAACATACTCTTATGGTCAGTCTTAATTTTCACTCCTTGAGGGCAGGAATTGTACCTTGTACTTTGTGAGGATTAATTCAGAGGAGAGAGATGGTGCTATGCAAGCAGTAGTTATTTTAAACTTGCTTGTTGGATGAGTGGATTTTCTGAATTAGTTTCCTCTCAGCCATGGCCATTTCTCCTACCCACCCTTACCCCCAGAGAGAAGGCAGGAAATTTGGGAGTATAAAGTCCCAGTTATAGCTTTGTTATTATACATCCTCTGTAGAGAATTTGGCAAGTTACATTTTTTCCCCCCTCTGATCCTTGTTTTTGTCTTTTGTAAAATACAGCATAAAGGTCCTGCTGACCTGTCTAAATCTGTCTGCTCTGTCATGGGATATAAGTACTTGATTGTTGAGTGTCTGTTGTGGATAATAGAATTTGGGATCTGATTAGCAATCTCCCCTCTACAGGGATCAGATGGAATAATTGTTGTGTCTGTTTTATCTATAGTCCAAAACAACCTTGACCCCATGGGTAGGACTCCGGAAGATCAATGTGTCATATTGGTGCTGGGAAGACATGTCCCCATTTACAAATAGTTTACTTCAGTGGCTGCCATCAGAACCAAGTGATGCTGGATTTTGTGGAATCTTGTCAGAGCCTAATGCCAGGGGCTTGAAGGCTGCAACCTGTATCAGTCCACTTAATGGAAGTATCTGTGAAAGGCCTGGTAAGTATGTAGTTCATTAATCCCTCCCTTCTTCCTTCCCTCTTTCTGTAATTATTTAAGTACCCTCTGTGTGGAGGGCTTTGTGGTGGGCCCTACAGCTACAGAGAGAAATAAGACTCCATATTTTTACTTCCAAGTGTTTTTTGGCATACTGGGAGTGAGTGAATGTGTGTGTGTGTGTGTGTGTGTGTGTGTGTGTGTGTGTGTGTGTGTGTGTACAGGCCCAATGTATATATGTACATGTGTATATTCATCACATAACATTGGCTAGGTATCTACTAACCTGTTGCAACAAAAAAAGAGTATTAGATTTGGAGGTGGAAGGTCTGTTTAAATCCTTTCTTTGCCCCTCATAATCTGTGTGACCATGGTCATTTCGCTTAACTTCTTTCATCCTTACTCCCTCCTTCTATAAAATGAGGCGATGGCCTAGATGACCCTTGATATCCTATCCAGCTCTAAATCTGTGATCCTTTGATTGTACTGTTTGCAGTGCATTGTGCTCAGTACTAAGAGAGATATAAAGTTTGGAACAAAAATGAACTTTTTCCTAGAACTTACAGTCTAATAGAGATAAAGGAGAGTGTGTGTGTGTGTGTGTGTGTGTGTGTGTGTGTGTGTGTTTTCACAGATATGCACTCCCTCATTAACTTCCTATTCAGATGCCTTATGGACGTACCAAGCCCTGGAGATACCAAGATGACTTCTTGAGAAGGTTACATTTTAGCTGTGAAAGATGGCATGTAGGCAAATAGAAAATAGTTGCTCAGTGGGTCTAGGGTATTGTGGGGGGAAAGGTGCCAGGGATTTTAAGAGGCAGCGAGGGGAGAAGGCAGAGCATTTCAGGCAAAGAAGACAGTGAGTGCAAAGGCACAGAAATGAGAGGTGTGGGGGCTGTGGGTGAGAAGCAGCAGCAGGTCAGCTTGGCTGGACTGTAGTGTGCATGAAGGGGAGTAGGGACAGAGAATGGGCCCAGGTGTGAAAGGCTTTAAGGGACAAGCAGAGGGCATTATTAGTAATCTTAGTGGTAACATGGTGCCATCAGAGTTAGGCGAGTAGTGTGGTGATAGAAGCAGACTTTAGAAAAAAGCACTTGGGCAACTGTGTGGTGCATGGCTTGGAGTGGAGTGAGACTTGAGGCAGGGAGATCAGCCAGGTTTTTGCAATGGTCCAAGCAAGAGGTGAGGGCCTTGAACTGGGGTGATTTTGGTGGGAGCAGGGAGAAAAGAATGGATGAGAGGGATGTAGTAGAGGTGGAAACAGCAAGATCTGGCAACTGAATTTGTGGGGTGAGTGAGAACTGAGGAGACCAGGACAACATGGAGGTTGTTTGAATAGGTGCCTTCTTCAGTAAGTGCTGGAGACCCAGGCAGAACAAGGCCAGGTTGAGTGTTCATATGTACTGTCACCATTCTGGGGCTCTCAGAAGGTTTATGAATTTGCCTTTGTGTTACGCAGTGCAGTTGGATTTATAAATGGATTCAGAATGTCCCCCTGGTTCTAACATATTCCTGAACCTTCAAGAAGAGATCAGTTCAGAGCCATAGACTAATGGGAGGAGATCAACTATTCTGCTTCTAAATAATGATCATGTGATCACCTCCTTGGTTTCACCTCTTCCCCATAACCCCAGCAGTGTTAATGTCTCATAATATTTTTGCCATCTTATTACCTTCTCACTGATATAACTTATAGACTAGAATATTCTTTAGAATATAACAAATGTTAGTATATAGTGCTTATGTAGAAGCACTGTGCTAGGGGCTACAAGGGGTGCAAAAAGAAATGAAATACAATGCCCAAGAGCATTTAGTGTGTGTTTGGAGAAGGGAGGATTTAAGTAGCAGGCAGAATGTGATAGATGACGTAAGAGAGGAGCAAAGTGCTAGGGAAGTTGAGTCAGTCCATCAAAAACCATTTATTAACTGCTTACTGTGTGCCATGCATTGTGCTAAGTGCTGGGCATACAAAAAAGGGCAAAAACATTGTCCCTGTCCTTAAAGAGGTCACATCCTAAAGGGGAAGATAGCATGTAGATAACTAAGTACATATAAGATGTGTGTGTGTGTGTGTGTGTGTGTGTGTGTGTGTGTGTGTGTGTGTGTATATATGGAGAGAGAGAGAGAGAGAGAGAGAGAGAGAGAGAGAGAGAGAGAGAGAGAGGGAGAGGGAGAGAGAGAAGAATCAGAAATTTCATGGAAAACTTCAAACACTTCATGAAATATAGGGGCCATTTAATCTGTTCTTTAAAAGATGCCTAATATTTTGACAGAATGATATTGCTCCAGGTGGACAAGTGTCTAAAAACAAGAGGAAGTAGACATGTCTAGGCCATTTATGGAACAGCAGTTGGTCCAGCTGGGAATGGTAGGGAAATGGTGGATGATACGGCTAAAAAAGTAAACTGGAATTCACAAGTGGAGTCCATTAGATAACATGGAACCATTGAAGGACTAAGTGGATCAGAACATGTAGTGGTGTGTAGAGCAGGTAAGAGGTATAGGACGAGTCTATATGACAGATTAGAGGATGAAGAATATTTTTGTACCTTGATGACTCTTTGATCTCATGGATACTTCTTCCAGTGATGTGGGTTGGAGCCCATCCATCCATGCCTTTCATAGAGGCAGCATGAAATGTGGATAGTTTTGGACTTGAAGTATGAAAATTCAAGGACTTGAATTCTTCTTCTAACGCTTAGCTCTGTGACTATGGGAAAGTCAGATAACCTCTCTGAGCCTTTTTGTTCTTTTGCATTAACCCATGTCACAGGGTTGTTGTGAGGCTCAGGTTTAATATCGTTTTTAAATTACTTTGCAAACTTGAAAGCACTATATAAAAGTCTGTTGTTGGTATTATCAACTGGTACAACTCTTGTCCACATTTTCCGAGAAACCGCCTTTCTCTTGTCTTTTTGACATTGCAAGGATACCAGTGGAACATATGGACCATCTTCTAACCCTGCTCTGACTTTATTACCCATCCACCTCTTCTCTTCATACATCTGTGATTAGTTTGTCGCTGTTGATGTAGATTGTTTGTCATTGAATAAGGTTCTCATGTTATATTTCATATATATATATATATATATATATATATATATATATATATATATATATATATATGTATCATATTATAGATAGTCTAAAAACTATAATTCCTCATGACTTTGGCATCTGTTTCTGCTACCCTGCTGCTCTGTGCAGAAGGTTCTACACAGGACTCAAGGCAGTTTTACATTTTTTTGTGTCCAAAGAAATTTCCCATTGTATCCAGCTTTTTGGTGGTGCATAATTCTGCATTTAGCTTGGCTTGTCCTTTGAAGGGGCAGACCCAATTTAGATTAAAGATGGGGTAGAGATTCTGATGGAATGACTGATTAGAAATAAAGGGTGTGAAAGGTAATTAACAGATTAAATTTCATGAGAAAATGACTTCTTTCACAATATGGTGGAGAACTAGCCCTATGGTACTTTTAGTTTCATTTTAACTTAATGTTAAAAGGTACCTTTAGTGGGTAACTTTTTGGGGTCTTGTAATAACGTGATGGCCCTAGAATTAAGAGGGATCAATAAAGGTTTCCTATAGAAGATGGGATTTTAGCTGAGCATCAAAGGCACAGAAGAGGAGGGAGAGCATTCCAAGCATGGGAAATAGGCCAGTTAAATGGCCATAGTTGGGTGATAGAGTTTCTTGTTGGTGAAGTAGCAAAGAGGCCAGTGTCACTGGATGGCATAGTATGTGGAGGGGAGAAGTGTAAAGTGTAAGAAGACTAGTCAGGTGGGGGGCAGTGTAGGTTATGATGGGCTTTGAATGGCAAATAGCGGATTTTATATTTAATCCTGGAGGTGATAGGGAGCCACTGAAAAGGGGTGGGGGGAAGGTCGACCATAAAACAAGAAGTGTCATTCAGTACTGTTTATTGTACCATTTATCAGGTGCTTACTATGCTAAGCACTGGAAGGGATGTTCTTAATGATGATAATTCTTAATAATCAAGAAAAGGCTAAATTGTAATCAGGGTACTTTGATAGCTAAGGCAGAGAAGAGTATAATTTTTAAAGTGTCTTCATTGAAATATAAAAGTTTATGTATTTATAGGATTAAATTTAAGGTAGGTAGAAAAAGAGGGCAGCTAGGTAGTACAGTGGTACAGTGGATAGAACACTGGACCTGGAAAGACCTGAACTCATATCCAGCCTCAGACACAAGCCATGTGATCCTGGGCATGTCACTTAATGCTGTTTGCCTCAGTTTCCTCGTCTATAAAATGAACTGGAGAAGAAAATGGCAAACCACTCTAGTATCTTTGCCAAGATAACCCCAAAGGAGGTCAGGCAGAGTCAGACATGACTGAAAATAACTAAAAAGGTAGAAAAGTACGTTTATTCAGAATACCTTACTGTCAGATGAGTGGTTTTTTATGTTTTATATAAATATATATTTTAAAATCCTAGGTAATGACACTAGATATAAATATGATGTCTAAGTCAATGTAATATGAGTATCATTATGGCAACATTTGTTTCAGTTTTTCATTCTTGCCAAATGCCTTCCTGGCTTTTTACTAAAAGTTAAATTGAATATATAATGTGTTTGTGCTACATAGAAATGTTTTTCCTCTCATTGCTGCTAGTTTCGTATGTTGTTTCTCAAAGTTTTACCTCTGATAACCTGCTAGAAAGTAATCAATTCTACAGAAATTCTAAGTACACTAAGTCCAAAAGTATATTCTATTTAAGTCACCATTGGTTGTATGTGGTACCATTTTGCTTCCTCCATCAGTTGGTGGATTAAGAGAAAAATCCTGAAATTTACTATTTGGAACTGACTTAACTTTTTTTTTTTTTAAGGCAGTTGGGGTTAAGTGACTTGCCGAGGGTCACACAGCTAAAGTGTCAAGTGTTTGGTCTGAGGCCGGATTTGAACTCAGGTACTCCTGACTTCAGGGCCGGTGCTCTATCTACTGCGCCACCTAGCTGCGCCAGAAAGTGACTTAATTTTGGAACCGCCTTCTTCTTCCTTTTTTTTTTCCAAACAAACATATAACATCTCATTTGTGGATTTTGCCTGTAATTAACTGTAGTTTTTATGTGTTGGTTGATTCTAGTTTGCTGTGTTAACATTTGCTAGTGCCATACCAAATCTATAGAAGAAGAATAGTGCCTACTTTCTGAGATCATATTAGCCAAGGTGAAGCTTACTTGGGTCTCTCTGTTCTGATTAAACTAAGGTTCCATCATTTGTTTTGTTGGGTTACTGTGTGTTTTATCACTGAAGGCTCATGCCTACTCCAAAACAACCTTCCTCCTTCTCTTTCTCCTCTTCCTCTTCTTCCTCTCTTTCTTCTTTTTTTCCTCCTTTCCCTCCTCTCTCCTCTCTTGCCTGACCTCCCATCTCTAAGCCCCATTTTGAAAATACCTTCCTTTCACCTTAGCAAATTGGGACTGTGAAATACTTGGCCAGGACTTAGCTTACTTAGGTGCTAGAAGCTTCAAATGTAGAGTTGAAGTACTTTTCCCTAATTTTTTTTCTTCATCCAGCCAACCACAGTGCCAAACAGTGTCGTACTCCCTGTGCCTTGAGAACAATGTGTGGAGAGTGTACCAGTGGCAGCTCAGAGTGCATGTGGTGTAGTAACATGAAGCAGTGCGTGGATTCAAATGCTTATGTGGCCTCTTTTCCATTTGGCCAGTGTATGGAGTGGTACACCATGAGTAGCTGTCCCCGTAAGTAATCTATTCAGTTTATAAAATGAATTCTTGGGCTTAGAGCCTGTGCATGGTGGTGTGTATATATGTGTGTGTGTGTGGTGGGGGTGGAGGTGTATGTAGGTATATGTGTATGTTTATGCATATATATGTATTCACATGAAGCCATAAACCATCTATCGGCAAAATATGACAATGGGTTAAAATTGTTAGCCTCTGAAGCCCTTCTTTCCAATGTAATTTGTTGGTTACTGTTCAGAGATGACCCTAAAGTCACATTCGTGTCTTGTAGAAGCTTACTATTAGATTGGCATTCTGTCATAGGTAGATAAGTATCTGAAAGATATCAGAATAAAAACACTAAGTGAATAGTCTACGTCATACATAAGTCTGGGACAAATACACCTTAGGTTTAGGAGGAAAATATGTAATTGGTCCAGTAATCAGTGAGAACAACCATTGGGATGTGATATCTTTGCCGAGTACAGTAAGGTGCTATTGTCAGATCTGTGATTATTTCAGAAACTTGTGAAACAGGTGGGTTTTCAGTGAACTTTGATAAGAAATGTCCATTTGCTCCACTTGACTGAGATGTATTGGCCTCACAGTATGGTGGGGACCCACTGGTTGGCACAGATTTGTCAGAAATGAAGTAGACCATCTCAGAAAAATCTATAAACTTAAAAAAAATCATTAGCTATGTTCTTATAATTAAAGAGGTTTTTCATGTGTTGTGCCTCTGCAAAGTCCTCCTCCTATGATTCCTTACAATTATTCTGGAAGGCTGTACCATTGGAGCATAAGATACAGCACATTCTATGGTACTGGAAAGGCTTTGAAGGCTGTCAGCTTATCAAAAGTATAATTTGCTTGTAGGTTAAAATAAAATGATAATATATATTAATAAGTAGTGTTTTATGTATTTTACTTACAAATAATCATGTTATCGTTTTGGTATATTCTCCCAACCTTGAAATTGTTAGTCTTGTGTATATGCGCATGTTTTTTTCAGTAATTCTTTGACCTCTTACTTTGAGTATAGTTTACTGTTACGTTAGAATAAAGTATCTTTATTTCTCTTTTAGGGTGGATTTTTTAATTCAAATTTTTTCAGCATAGTTCTCTAGGAAGCCTTTAGGAATACTTACTAAAGTTTAAGTTACTATTGGAAGTAGCTTAGGTCTATCATTATCATAATGCTAATACTCTTGATTTGAGTACAATTGGATATCAAGAGAATTAGTGATTTTTGAACTTTTATCTTTACTTATTGATGAACTCTGGTAATATATTAGTTGAGAGTAGGAAAGCCAGCTGGAACAGTGAACACGCTCATGAAAGATGATTTAAGTGCACTAGATTAATTTAGATTTGGAGGTTCTGGTGATATTTATATTCTAGGATAGTAAGAAGCTAGAAGAGTGTGGGAGATAGAAAGAATACCAGTGTGTAGGAGCAATGAGAAAATCTTCTATTCTCAGACCGTTTGCTGAACTCCCCAGCACAGTTCTGAGTGTTGTAATTGTAAGAGACATTACGAACACAGGGAAGGGTGAAAAGAGAACTCTAGACCTAGATGTTTGTGAGGAAAACTAAAGGAATTTGGTGTTCACTTCTAGAGAAGAGAAGGCCATGGAAGACTGGATCATTTTCTTCTAAGATCTGTTTTTTGTTTTGTTTTGTTTTCTGTAGGATTAATTGTTCTTTACCTGCACTAAGGACTAAGAAAGGGATCTTAGCCTGAAATTATAACAGAAAGGAATTAATTAGTTATAAAGGATGGAAAAATCTTAGGACTCAAAATCAGAAGATCGTGGGTTCTAATTTTGACTTTTCTTTGTCATAAGCTAGTGCCAAAATTACTTTATCTGGCCTCAGTTTCCATATTTGTAAAAATGACTGAGTTGACATAGATGGTCTCTAGTGTCCCTTCCAGATTTAAAAAATATATATACACACATATATCTATATATATAATTTTTCTAATAGAATTGTTTACTGTCTTATGTGGTACAGTAGACAAGAGTCAGCAAAAGAAGAATATACTGAGATCAGAAAACATGGTTCCTGTTCTCAACTTTATTACTGATTTCCCTTGGGACCTTGAGCAAGTCACTTCCAGTGTATGGACCTTAGTTTCTTTCTTTGTAAAATGAAGTAGGTTATATTTGGTCTGTAACCTTCCTTTAAGGTTAGATATTCTGACATTGACAGCTATAAAATACTTCTCTTGAAACATTTAGAGACGATTTCCAGCTTTCTACCAAATGGTTTGTCCCTTTCAACCCTGATCTTCTATTTAAAAAACCCTCTATTTTTCACTATAAGCACCTTTTGCTAAATAGCATGTGGAAATTTTTGTAACCTGGTGTTTTGTTTTTGTAGCGGAAAATTGTTCTGGTTATTGTACTTGTGGTCACTGTTTGGAGCAGCCTGGCTGTGGTTGGTGTACTGATCCGAGCAACACTGGCAAGGGGAAGTGCATTGAAGGCTCCTACAAAGGGCCGGTGAAGATGTCATTGCAGGCATCCACAGGGAGTCCCTTTCCACAACCACTTCTTAATTCTAGCATGTGTCTAGAAGAGAACAGATACAACTGGTCTTTCATCCAATGTCCAGGTAACATGCATTCTGTTTTTTTGTAACTTGGCCAAAAAACCATTCCTTGTCCTATTTCTTTTAAAAGTTTGGAGTATAAAAACAATGTTACTTACCTAGTCTACATTTGGTAATGGAAGAGTGGTTCAACTTAACTTTGGAGAATTTATTTCATTTAAGGTTGGTTTCCCCTACTGACAATCGATGATGCATTTTAATAAGAGCTTTGCTCTTTAGTTTGCCCTGTTGTAGAAAAATTGCCAGCTTTTTCCTGCTGCTTACTTGTGCATATTTTCTGCATGAGCCAGATGAAGTCATTTGTACCCTCCCTAGGTAATACTCCATCAGTAAGTCTGATGTAACCTTTTCAGAGGTCAAATCTTGTTAAAATAAAATCTCTACCAAGTACAAGATATCTTAGTGAGCTAGGTGGTACAGAGCTGTATCTGTGGGCCTGGAGTCAGGAAAACATGTGTTGAAATCTGGCCTCAAATACTTACTATCTATGACCCTGGGAAAATCATGTAACCTCTATTTTTGTCAGTTTCCTCAATTGCAAAATGGGGTTATTAACAGCATCTACTTCACATGATTGTTGTGAGGATAAAATGAGACAATATTTGTAAGGAAGTACTTAGCACTGTGTCTAGCAGGTACTATATAAATGCTTATTCCTTTCCTTTCTCCCAAGTCCCAGATGATGGTTAAACTATGGGAGTCATTTTCAGACTGACAGAATTCCAAAAGACAAAAAACCCTAAAATATCAACAGCCACATAAATGACCTCTTTTAATTGTAATGGAATTTGGTTTGTATTAAAAATGGTCATAAAAGTTACTGTGTAATAGTTTAGGAAGGGTTATTTGCTTGCATCCATTAATTCCCAGTTTTATCAGAGACTGTTGTTGTAGACCAATGTGAAGACTACTTGAGTAAAATCCCTTTTCTCACATAATCAATTCTGTTTATGTGATTCAGTATTTTCAGAGAAATAGAATGGTTGCCCAAAACTACCTAGTACAACTTGTAGCTGAGCAAGAATTCCCACTATATCATCTTCCCAAAGTGGTATCCAGTTTTTATGTGAAGATCTCTTCTATACCTCCCCAACATTGTAATTATGAAGTTATTTTTTTTAAACCAAAGTATAAGACTTGACATTTATCCCCCTTCAGTTTCTTCCTAGTGACTCTGGCCAAAGGCCACAAAGGTCTCTTTGTATCTGATTTTGTCATTTGATGTTTTCTCCATCTCCCCTTTCTTTCTCCTTGGCCCTCCAGTTTTGTGCCATCTGCACATTTGGCACACTTCCTGTCTATGCCTTTATCCAAGTCATTGGCAAAAATGGTAAATAGCATGGGTCCAAGTGCAAGTCTCTGTCACTGGCAATTCTAACCCTTCCAAGCTGACATCAAGCTGTTAATGACTAATTTTCAAGTCTAGCTAGTCAAGTCATTCTGGACTTACCTAACGGTAAGTGGAAACATTGTTGGATTTGTCATTAAAGGGACCTAGATTTGAATCCCAGCTTTATCATCAGTGAGTTAGCCTTTCTTGTTCTCACTTCATCACATGTTGAATCAGGTGAAATACTAGATGATCACCAGCATTATTTCCAACGCTCAGTCTGTCATACTAGGGTCACATAATCCCATAGCTCTCTTATCTTCAAGTCTAACAAGAGAGACTGTCAAGTGCTTTGCTGTTATAGAGCTAAGCTAAGAGTACAGCATTCCCCAAGCTGCTAGTGTAGTAGTCCTTTCAAAAAGGAAATGAGGTTTGTCTGACATGAACTGTTCTTGAGGAAGCCATGCTGAGCTTTTGTAATCAGGGCTTCATTTTCTATCTGTTCATTACCTATTCCTTTAATAATTAGAATTTTGCCAAGAATTGAAATTGGAGTCACTGGCTGTAGCCCTGAGACACTTCTTTCCTCCTCTGCTAACTTTCAAAGATCATTGACAATGGCTTGGCAGTTACATCCAGTTATATCTGCCAGTTGTGTTAGGACCCTGGCATGTAATTTCTCTGCCATTAGTGACATCAAGTGCAGTATTTTACAGTAGAAAAAGCATTGAATTCAGACTTGGAGGACCCTGCGGCCTATGTTGCCTTGAACATGTCATGTAACCGTGGGCCTTAGCTCCTCACCTTACAAGGGATAGCCACTGAAGTCCCTTTCACTTCTAGATCTTGAGTCCTAGAATCCTGTTATCTCTTTACTTATATTGGGTATCTACTTCTGATTAGGAATTTTTTTCCTGAGAAAAAGGAAGCAAAAGAATGCTTGAGCAGATCTGCTGTGTTTCCATCAGTAGTTAGTGTCTCATTCATCCAGAGTAGGTTTTTCTCCTCTTTCTTTTCTTTGCTTTTCTCTAGTATAGCTAAAAAACAAAACAAGGTCATTAACTTTTCTTACTAGCCTTAGCTCAATCTTATATTTAGTGTTTCTGACATTATTTCTCCATGCTTTTTTATTCATTCTTTATTACCTGTCGTTGCTTCCAACTGCATATGCCTTTTTAAAATGTAAGTCGGTTGGTGAGCTCCCTGCACATCCACATTATTCTCTGTAGACAATGCCCTTTTCTTCTTTTCTGCAAAATCGTTTTCTTTTGTGTCTCAAATTTCATTCTTGAGAGCTTTCCATCTCTCGGTGAAATTTTAGGTGACAGGATCCTATCTTTTATCTGAACACTTTAAAATCTTTTCTTTGCACCTCTAGGGTGAGTGTCTGACTGTGCCCAACAGCCCGCTCTTTCTGTATCTCAGATGCTAAGGTGGAGTGGTCACCTAGGGTCACAACACAGGTGTCACCTTCCACTCCTCATATCCGATCAGTAGACAATTCTTTTTGTTTCTACCTTTGTAACATCTCTCATATATGCCCCCTTTTCTTTTATTTATTTTTTATTAATTTATTTTGATTTATCAACAATCACTTCCATATGCTTTTGAGTTTAAAATTTTTCTCCCTTCCTCCCCGCCACCCTCCCCAAGGCGGCACACAATCTGATATAGGCTATACATATACATTCTTATTAAGCATATTTTCACATTAGTGCTGTTGTAAGTAAGAATTAGAACCAATAGGAGGAACCACCAGGAAGAGCAAACAAAACTCAACAGAAGGAAAAAAAATAGCAAATACTATGCTTCGTTCTGCATTCAAACTCCATAGTTCTTTCTTTGGATGTAGATAGCATTTTCCATCACGAGGTCTTTGGAGATGTCTTAGATTCTTGTATTGCTGAGAGGGGTTAAGTTTATCAGTATTAGTCACTGCACAACATGGCTGTCACTGTGTGTGCAATGTTCTCCTGGTTCTGCTCACTTCACTCAGCATCGGTTCATACAAGTCTTTCCAGGTTTTTCTGAAGTCCACCTGCTCATCATTTCTTATAGCACAATAGTATGCCATTACATTTATATACCACAACTTGCTCGGCCATTCCCCAGTTGATGGGCATCCTCTCAATTTCCAATTCTTTGCTACCACAAAAAGAGCTACATGTGGGTCCTTTTCCCATTTGTATGATGTCTCTGGGATATAGCCCTGGAAGTGCTATTGTTGCATCAAAGGGTATGCACATTTTGATAGCCCTTTGGGCATAGTTCCAAATTGCTCTCCAAAATGTTTGGATCATTTCACAACTCCACCAACAATGCATTAGTGTTCCAATTTTCCCCCATCTTCGCCAACATTTATCGTTTTCTTGTTTTGTCATGTTGGCCAATCTGATAGGTGTGATATGGTACCTCAGAATTATTTTGATTTTATGCCCCCTTCTGTGTTCTGACACTGCCACCACTCTAGTACAGGCCCTCATCTTCTCATGCTTGGACTACTGCAATAACCTGCTGGTTGGTCTCCCTGCCTCATGTCTCTCCCCACTCCATTCCATTTTCCATTCAGCTGTCAAAGTGATCTTCCTAAAGCAGAGGTCTAACTCAATTACCTCCTCTGTCGATAAACTCTAGTGACTCCCTATTGCCTCCAGAATCAGATATAAAGTTCTCTGATTATTAAAGCCCTTTGTAACCCTTCCCCTTCCTACTTTTCCTGTTTTCTTATATCTTACTCCCCTCCCATATTTGGCAATCCAGTGATGCTAGCCTCTCACATGACATCCCATCTCCTGACTCCAAACATTTTCCCTGGCTGTCCCCATGCCTGGAACTCTCTGCTTCCTGGCTTCCCTGGCTTCCTTCAAGTCTCAGCCAAAGTCTAACTTTGTTCGAGAGCCATCTTCCAGTCGTTCTTAATCTAAGTGCCTTCCTTCTGAGACATCCTCTAATTTATCCCATATAGATCTTGTTTATTCGTACTTGTTTGCATATTATCTCCTCTATTAGACTGTGAATTCCATACACACACACATATATTTTTTTTGCCTTTCTTTGTATCCCCGGTATTTAGCACAGTCCCTGAAACATAGCATATGATTAATGAATGCTGGTTGACTGACTTCCTCCCTAGGTTCCTATTCATTTCCACTCCATCAATAAGTTTTTCCTTGTTGGTGAGAATAAGATATAGAATCACACCTCCTTTAATTATAACCTTCACTTTTGAAGGTTGAAACTGTCATGAAAGCAAGCCAAGAAATAGTCGTTTTGCTTTTGGCCAAGAGAACTTCAGCAGATGTCTGGATAATTTAATTATCCACTCATCATTACCATGTCATGGCTCTGTCAGCTGCTTACAGAGCCCAAACTCTTAATCTGTTTCCACTTTTTCTCTTGGCATTCTATAGTATAATATGATAGTCTCTTCGGATAAGCTATGTTCCAACCTAGATAAAGGCTGCATTGGTATGTTTGTTTTCTCTTTTAAATCTCTCTCTATGGTGATTGGGCTGAATTTTTTTTTTATGAACTAGTCCTTTATACTTTGCTTTTTGTTCTCATGACAAATAGTATATCCAGCAAACTGCTTCAGATAGCTAAAACTTTAGAGGACCTAGGTAGTCCAAGTCCATAATTTTTGAGGATTTGTTGCAACTTTGTTGTGAAGTTGTTACTACCCCAAATCTTTTTTCTTTCCCTAGCGTGCCAATGTAATGGACACAGTAAATGTATCAATGAAAGCATCTGTGAAAAGTGTGAGAATCTAACAACTGGCAAACACTGTGAGACATGTATATCAGGCTTCTATGGTGATCCTACTAATGGAGGAACATGTCAACGTAAGTGAAATCTAGTTTTGTTAAATACAAATCTAATTAATAATGTTGTATTCATTAAATTATAAAGTTGAGGTGGACAAGGGAAATGAATGCTACATTTCTTAATAAGTATTTGCTATTTTCAGTATACTTTTAAATCATTGTAAGTTTTCCCATCCATGAAGATTAAAAGTATAAATGTAATAACAGTTGTATATTTGGAGAAAAAAGAGCATTCACAGTTCATTTGTTAGCATGAAAAATTGAAAAGTATAGCTGGATTCTATTTTGTTTTCACATTAGCTATATCGCTCATATATGTTTGAGTCCTCCAATATTTAAATATTGCACTGTTTTTCCTGATAGTGTGAAATGTTTCACAAGAACTTTTAAGCTGTACTTTTTTCTCTCCCATTACTGGCAATAAAATGTGTTGAATGAAAATACTTTTCCAAGCCCTCTAAATGTAAGACAGGAAGAAAGTATAAAGTATGACTTTGTAACTTAGAAAGAGTCCTACAAATTCTGGTAAGTCTTGTAGTTTATTCTGGTAAGTCTTGTAGTTATGTCTGAGATGCCTTGCGATGTGTTTGTACTACACCTTATGTCTGTAGTGATGCCTATGGTGTGTAAACCTAGTATAGTTATTAATCTTGGTGTTGATTTAGCTTATTCTGTCTCTTAAGAAGTTCTAATGAAGAGGTAGAGCCTTGCAACCCCATTTAAGCTCTAATGTTCTATGATCGTGACTCTAATTGTCCTGGAAATTTAAAGGCCTGAACTAGTCAGGGAAGATTTGATGAAGGAAATATGGTGTGAGAGACTTTTTAAAAGTGGGATTTGGATAAAGAGATGAGTTGAGAGGGCATTCCAGATAAAAGAAATAGTTTATAGGACAGGTACATGTATCATTTGAAGCTTTCACTTGAAATTGAAGTTTGAATATATGAGGATCCTTCAGTGGAACCGGAATCAGGAAAACCTGAATTCACATGCAGCCTCAGACCCTTTTTAGTTGTGTGACCCTGGCCAAATCACTTAACTTGTTTGCCTCAGTTTCCTCAACTGTAAAAATGGTGATAATAATAGCATCTAACCTCCCAGAGATGTTTTGAGGATTAAAAGAGAAAATGTGTATAAAGTGCTTTGTAAACCTAAAAGCACTGTAGAAATGCTAGCTATTATATACAGTGCAGGACATGGATGATCAGGTGAAGGGGACTGAGAAGAGTTGATTAGACAGATAGAAGAATGTACCACCACAGTGCAGTGGCACAAAAGGATAGAGTATCTGGAACAGGATTTCTTAACCTAGAGGTCATGAACTTTTAAAATATACATATGTGTGTATACACACACACACACACACACACACACACACATATATATATATATAAAGATATATTTTAATATATATTGTTAACTATTTCAATGTGATTATTTTTCTTTGTAATTCAGTGTATTTGGTTTTATGCATTTAAAAACACTCTGAGAAAGTGGTCCATAGTCTTCAACAGACTAACAAAATGTTCCATGACACAAAAAACTTTATGAACTTCTGATCTAGAGAGATGAGGATACATGACAGTGTCAAAGGCTGCAGGAAGGTCAAAGAGGATAAGACTTGAGAAAATACTGTTGAGTTTAACAATAAAGAAATCACTGCTGATCTTGGAGAGAACAGTTCATCTGGATCTAACAGTACCTGATACACAGTAGTTGCTTAATAAATGCTCATTGATTATTTATAGGGTTTTCAGCATAAAGGAAGGTTTCAGTTTGTCAAAAGCTTTTTATTAATCTATTGATTCAAATATTATGTGATTTTGGATGTTTTTGCTTTCAATATGATAATTACATGAATATCAATTAATAGTATTAATTAGTGATATTAATTATTTTCCTAATATTGACCCAAACATGCATCCTTGATATAAAACTTGTTTGCTTACAGTGAATTTTTAAAAAATAAAATATAGTCTTTTTAGCCAGGATTTTATTTCAGATTTTTAAATCAATATTCATTAATCCTTATGATCTGTAGTTCTCTTTTTTTTGCTTTATCCTTTCTTGATTTACATGTGATGACTACATTTATCTCATAAAACTAGTTTGATGGAGTGTTTTCTTAATTTTTGGAAATAATTTGTGTCATAGATGTATTAATAGTTCTTTAGAAGTCTGACAAAACTTTCCTCTGAATTCATCTGGGCTAGGGGCTTTTTTCTTTGGTATTTCTTTTAAAACTAGCTGAATTTCCATTTCTGAAATTAGATTATTTAAGATCTTTATGTGGTGTTCTCTTCATTTGAATATTTTATATTTCTGAGGTAATTCTCATGGCACCTTTACAAAGACAGACCATGTATTAGGGCACAGATAAATTATAAATAAGTTATGACAGCAGACATGCTAGACACATCCTTTACAGACTTGTTCTTCACATATCCGCCTTCTCATCCACTTTCTCGTAGAAATCTGCTCGTAGAATCCTCTAGAGAGAATCAAATTACTAAATTTGCTAAGATGTTGAAGCAGATCTTGAATATTCTTCCCACATCAGTTCTAAAGACTAGGGAATGTATCTTCAATTGAATTTTGTGGTTTTTATCTTGAGTTTTTCTTTGCAATAAACACAGACTGTAATCAGGTATTTCTTAGTAGTGAATAGTATTCCTGATTCACATTTTGTCAAATTTACCAAAATTCACATTTTGCCCAAGCCAAGAGTAGTCGGCTTCCTACAGCAAAGTTATCAAAAGAAGCCATTACTTTGGGGAGGTGGGTAGACTGCACCCTCGGCATTAAAGGTCCTCTGGGAGTCCTTTGTGCTCTTTGAAGAAAAATAGTTGAAACTTATTAAGTCACTAGAGGAATAGAGACCAAGTATCTGTATGAATGTAATGGAGTCATATTACACTGTAAAAGAAGGTAAATGGGAGAGATTCAGAGAAACCTGGTAGGACTTGTGTGAACTGATACAGATTGAAGTGAACAAAACCAGGGGAACATTTTATGCAGTGACTATAGTAACATAAAGAAAATATCCTTGAAAGAATGAAGAACTGTGACGAGTGATGGGTCATCGTTTCAGATGAGTGATAGTGAAGGCTGCTTGCTACTACCTTTTGGCAGAGAGGTCGATGTACTAAAGGCACAGAATGAAATGCTTTTAGATATCACTGGGATGTAAATTTGTTTTGCTTAATTCTCTTATTTATTACAAGGGAGGGCTTTTATTTGGGAAAGGGGATGAATATTGTAGGAGGGAAAGGTAGAGATAATGATAAAAAAAGAAGGAAAGAAAGGGTTAGTGAAACATTAAAAAATACATAATAGATAACAGAAGAAAGTTCAGAAGGGCACACAGAGAAGCAGTTTTGTTACTAACATGTTAAATTTAATTTATACTTTATAAAACTATATATGCTCAATTAAATATACAATTCTCTTTTTCTGTTCTTTGTATATTGAAGTTTTGCATTTAAAGTTTACAATGAAAAAAATAGGAGATCAGTAAACAAAGGAGCTGAAAAAGTCCCGAAAGAATAGTAAGACTTGGAACCTTGGAAAGATAGCCATGCTGGTAGAAAAGCCAATGCAATGTCAGGTGATGATGCCTCCTGAGAATAGCTAGAGTCAATCTTCAGGTCTCTACCAAACTTATTTCAGTACCTTCAGTGCTTGACATTTGTGGTGAATTTATTGACTGAAAACTTTTCATCATCCAAATGCTATCCTTTTTTCTTCTCTTCCATTTTCTAATTAAAGTGGTTTTATTGGCAGAATGGAAACTAATTTTTCTTTAGCCAAGGGTGATCTGTGTTTTCTTTCATTTTCACAGCTTGCAAGTGTAATGGTCATGCTTCCCTCTGTAATACAAATTCAGGCAAGTGTTTCTGCACCACCAAAGGAATCAAAGGAGACGAATGCCAATTGTGAGTATCACCTATGTGTACCATCTCCTGAATTTTTATCCCTGGAGGGGGAGGTGTGTGCATGGAATTGATTTGTAACAAATGTAATTACAGCAATTCTGCATTTACAGGTAGCTAAATCTAAGTAATCTTTACTAATGATGGGGAGACAAAGCAGAGATCTGTTAAAGCAGTGATCATTGTCCATTTAGACTTAAGATTTACCTCCTTTCATCATATTTGTTCAAAAACTGACCAAAGAATAGTCACAAATGTAGAGTTGGAAGAGGGCAAAACAATTATCTAGTTTAGTCTTCACATTTTACAGCTGAGAAACTGAGGCCCAAACAGGTTAAATTAGTTGTCCAAGATCAAATGGGTATTAAGTGACACAACCAGGATTTGAGCCCAGTCCTTTAGCTTCAAGTCTAGTGTTCTTACCTGACAAATTGATTGATTTGAAGTTTCACTTATACTCTATTCTCAGCTTCAGCTGAGGATACTAAACTCTAGTAGAGATGGTTACCAAGTGGGTAGTATTAACCCTGGGCAATCCATATCTAGAGAACCTTTCTACTGACTGTCATCCTTACCCATAATTGAATTGACTAATTCTCTTGTTCAGGGAAAGAAAGGGAGTGTTTGCCTTCCAGTATAACAATATGAAAGATTCATGCCTAATCCATTGGTCCTTCTGAGCACTTCAGTGTCCTCTGGACTTGACTCTACCTTAGACTGATTTAGGGAGGGAGAGGGAAGCTGCGTTCCCTTTTTAGCCTATGACAGCATTCTCAAAAAATGATCAGGGACCCCAAAGGGTCCCCAAGACCCTTTCAGAGGTCTTTGAAATCAAAACTGTTTTCATAATAATCCTAAGACATTTTAATTTCTAGTATGGTAAATACTGATAGATTTAACCCATATAAATAAAAGCTCTTTGGGAGGTGGTCCTCACTAATTTTTAAGAGTGTAAAGGGGTCCTGAGACCAAGAAGTTTGAGAACTTTTGGCCTTGGACTTCTTTCTTACTATGCTTTAAACCTTACTGATATCTAAAATCCAGTTTTAGATATGGAACTCTGACCCTATTGATCCCTGAGCTTACTTGATTTCTTGGGTTCAGAAATTTCCCATCTTTCATCTGTCCTACCTTCTGCTACTGCCACCATCCCTATGAGCCTTAGCCAGGGGCAAGGTGCTCACTCCATTTTTTCAATTTTACCCCTGCTGGCCCAATTTTACCCCAGGTGATGAAATTGTATTTTTTTAAGGCCTATTCACAAGGAAAGAATATTAAATGCAGAATTCATATGTAAGAGTGAGATAATTCATAGTTTATATTAAAGAAACCAAAAAGTAATCAAGTTACTGGCTGAGTGCTACCATGGTTCCTCTTTAGGACCAAAAGTATCTTTCTTCTTTACCCTTTCAAATGCAAATGACCTTTTTATTTAACCAGAAATCACAATCCACCAAAATTTGGTATTCACTGACCTGTGCTTGGAATGAACTTATTTGTTTATTGGGATGAACTTATTTGTGTGTTCTACAATCCCATGCTTATTTTTAGCCAGTCAGGATTCTCCAACTGAGCTGGAGAGAGGAAGAAAGACTAATTTTTATTTAAAACATTTCTCCTTGCCCCATCTCTCATTTCCTGTAAGTGGGAGAACTAAAGTATTCTGAGTGGAGGCTTTGGAACAAATGGGTCAAAGGAGAAACATCCCATCTCTTTGTTGTGCCTAGCTAGCATAATACTTGGGGGAGGACTAGTTTAGAGGAAAATCTCATTCAGCAAATTCTTTTTTGTCTTTTTTCTTTACAAGAAGGGTTTCAAGGTCGAAAAAAAATATTTCTGCCTACCATAACATCTAGGAGGTATCTTATAAATGAGCATGTATCGGTTGAATCTGCTGTTATTTCACAGATGATAAAACTGTCACCATAATAGATTATCAAGTTCCATTTATTAGGCTGAGGAACTGTGTTATGACAGAATTGATTGGTTTGGTTTTAGTGTTTACTCAAGTCTATTAGTCGCGTGCTTTACATTGCTAATAATTTCTGAAGAGAAGGCTACTGGTGAATCCCATTTTGGTTTCTGAAGCCAAGACTCTAAAGTAAAAGAGGTGATATAATAAAACCCACTATGCATCTCTTCCCCTGGATTGGGTACAAAGTAATAAAATGTTGAGGCTTGTTGAGCTGAATGTGTATAGAATTAAAATTTCCCTTCAAAGAGGTTCTTTATGTAATCCTGTCATCTTCATCTTGGATCCTTCTTAAAAATAGGACAAGATCACTTTTTCAAAGCAGAGAGATTACCGTACATCTCTACCCCTCAAAGTTGTAGTGAGCGCAGTGTAGTGCCCTGGTTCTTGCCAGAAGGATCTTAACCTATAACTTTGGCATTGCCTGAGATGACAGTTGTGGAAGAATAGAGAACATTTACCCATCTTGGCCCTCTGGATGTGCTAAATAGACTGCTAGGTTTGCCGCACTGAACAAGTTTTAAAATGGGAATTAGTGATTTGTGGTAGACTGGTGGAAATTGAGATTTTTATTGAATATGCTGCTCCTTAGATATTCAATTATTTTTCAACATTACTTGGGCAACAAGCTTTACAGGTAAGTAAAACTCTTGGTCACTGCAAAGGAGTAGAATGTGTTTGACTTTAGAATCTGGAAATGTGTTACAGCTAATCTTATTCATGTGCCCAGTTGCAAAGATATTTTGAAGGTTGGAAAGTGATAAGATAAAAAGAATAAAGATAGAAGAACTAGCATTTCAAAAGATTATTTTCTTCACTTGACATTTATGGAAATGGGAGCAAACTACTTAAGGAACATAGAAAGTAATTTAGAAATGGCAAGTTGGAAAGTATTTTCACCATATAATAGTACACTTTGGAGATGGCATTGATTTCCCAAAGGGTAAAAAATGATTGTAAAGGCAGTAGTGAAGTCCATTTGTAATTAAAATTTTTCTTTTTTATTCAGTTTGCATTAGGCTGTTTTGGGTTTTCAGTATTTATTTAATGTAGAGTTTGTTTCTTTTAATAGTACCCTGCTAGATGTTCTCCCAGAGAATAAATATTTGTCTGGACGGGTGGAGGGAGAGTTGTAGAAAGAAGCAGGGATACTAGTCTGAGGTGACCAAGAGTGGGATGTAAATGAAAAAAAGACTTTATTGCCTTGAAAAATATTTTTTACTTGTTTGATATGGATGAGATTTAAGTTCTGAGTCTTTGATTTTAAATCTACAAATAATATAAAAAAACACTTTTTAAAGAAAATAATAAGTCTTAATAAATTTTTCTAGATGTGAAGTAGAAAATCGTTACCAAGGAAATCCTCTCAAAGGAACATGTTACTGTAAGTATTTCTACTTTTCCTACTTGTCTGGGAATAGTGTAGGTGGAACAGTGTAGGTTTGCCCATGCTTGAGTGTTTACCAGCCACCTCTTTTAGAAGGCAGCAGAACAAGGGGCTCGCTCTGGTAGGAATCTGAGTATAGGGGATTTTGGCTTCTCTACTAAAGGCCAATGCCCTACATCTTAATAGATTCTTCTGACACTCTGGAGTCTTTTTTTTTTCTTTTTATTTTTGTAATTCTACTTGCTGATTGAACCTTTGGAGAGCAAATTCAGAAACCAAAATAAGCAGTAAGACGCAAAAAAAAACCCACACTTACAGTTACATAAAATTGTGTTTATAAATATACAGTACATGGAACATAGTTGGGCCCTATTAGATGATGAGGTGGAAGCTTTGGGCATTCTCTGGAGGGTGGCTGTGGATAAGAGCCTCTGAGAAGTACATTCATTTTCTTGGAAGAAAAATGCCACATAACTGCAAAGCAGAAATTATCATCTGAGTTGCTAGGTTCACTTCAGGTTAGCATTTATTCAAGGCCTACTCTGAGCAGAGTGCAGGGCTCAGGAGCTCAGTTTGTGTTCTGCCTGTAAAACAAAGCCTCACTGACTGTTTTCATTAGTCTCGACTCCCACATATTTGAACCACCTTTCATTTTTCACTGTTCTGTCAAAAATAATTACTCACATTTATTTAGAATTTTAAGTTTTATGAGTGAGAGGCTTGATGAGTATTGTTAAATTCTGCATTCTCCATTGTTGTCCTTCAGAGTTGAAATATACAAATAATCCTTATGAAAATGAAGCACAAAAGATTGGACCTGAGAAAATAATTCAGGATTTCATGCTAATTCTGGAATAAAGTTTTTGACTTCCAGTTTTAAATAGTGATTTCTCAAAGTAATCTGTGTATTCAAGGCGTGTTCTATAAACCAAAAGATAGAACTTAGGATGGAGGAATGACTTATTGGCATCAGGAAGCTTTATTGAAGCTGGAGATGAAGACAGAAATCCTTTGGGAATTTCGAGGGGCTTAGTCCATAGCATTCAGAAGGTTCAGCAGGGTAGAAATAGGGAATTGTTAAGAAATCAACACTGGCAGAGACCTTAAATAAACTGAAACCCCAAATCCAAAATTAAAATTACAAAACAGATCAAGGGACCAGCTGAGTAAGGATGGGTGGTAGGAGTTAATATTAGGACAACAGAGCCTCCTTCTAACAGAGCCTTTGGCTAGTAGCCTACTTCTTGGGTAGGGATGAGCTACGAAATTCTTTCTGCTATTGAGATTCAGGAAGTGAGCTGAATGAAATAACAGTAACCAAGCTCCCCTGTCACTATTACATAATAATAATTTTGCCTGCATTGTTTTCCTTTAAATGCTAGCTAGTTTGGTTTACTTTCCAATTTGTTGCTCTATGAGTTTCTTTTTTTCTAAAACTGCATAAATTTTTTCCCCACAGATACACTTCTTATTGACTATCAGTTCACCTTTAGTCTATCCCAAGAGGATGACCGTTATTACACAGCTATCAATTTTGTGGCTACACCTGAAGAAGTATGATCAAGATGATTTAATGTCTCTCTGGGTGTTTGTGATGATTCTTGTTTGTATGAGGTCAATGGTAGAGGCAGTGTTATGTAATGGTTTTCAGGGTTGGTTTTCTTCCATTAGTTTAAAAAAGATAGAACTCAAGTTAGAGGTACTGCTTCTGTCATCACCTGTGATCTTTTTAAAAAATGCTTTCTTGGACCATATGTACATTTTATGGAGCAATAAGTCCTTCATACCTTTATGGCAGGGAAATTGAATTTTATTTTGGTTTTGTAACTCAGCTTAAGGAAAATCACCTGGGCAATGCCTTCTCCCTGTCAACACTTGCTCTTCTCAAAAGTTTTGGGTTTCTCATGAGACACTAGTAAAATGTAAGTTCATCTGTAATTGAGAAAGTTGATCGTAATGAAATTTAACTGTGGCTTTCCTATAAAATCTCAGAATTGTTCTAATGTCACTTAGTAACATGACTTTCTCTTTTCAATCAGCAAAACAGGGACTTGGATATGTTTATCAATGCCTCAAAAAACTTCAACCTCAACATTACTTGGGCAACAAGCTTTACAGGTAAGTAAAACTCTTGGTCACTGCAAAGGAGTAGAATATATTTGACTTTAGAATCTGGAAATGTGTTACATCCAATCTTCTTATTCGTGTGCCCAGTTGCAAAGATATTTTGAAGGCTGGAAAGTGATAAGATAAAAAGAATAAAGATAGAAGAGATAGCATTCTGGAAAGATTTCTGGAGTTAGGAGTTGGGACCCCCAAGTTCAGTTTCTGGTATTGCCATTTACTAACTTCGTGGCCATAAACAAATCATCATTTTTGAGTCTCAGTTCTCTCATCTGTAAAACAGATAGGCTAATAATACTTAAACTACCTACCTCACCAGGTTATTGTGAAGAAAGTACTTTGCAAGCTTTAAATCACTGTAGAAATAACTGTTACTATTGGATTGAAAAGTTAGCATAACTCTCTTTTCCCCATACTCCTGCCCAATGATCCTTTCATTCCATACTCTCCAGAGCCTGAAGTTTTCCTCTGAATTACTAACACCTACTATGGTTACTTAGGATGAGAAGCTGGGATGATGGCTTACTTGCATGCACCATAAGCTGCTTCATAAATATTTAAGTAGTTGGATCCAGGACTATATGGGTAGCACATCCTGACCATGCATTAATGGGTCCTAACAGTGTTTGAGAGAATGAGACTTACATGATCAGGCAAGATGGAGGCATAGAATGATTCTAAAGGCAAGGAAGTTTGGAGAGATTAGCTTCAGGCTAATTCCCTTGGTGGGGATGGGGAATCACACTCTAAAAAAAGATTAAGGAAAGACACATTTTGCTTATAACAAAGGCTGATTTACCTTTTAATACCTAGCAAGCATATAGTTTTGTGTGCAGAAAAAATATGTGAACTTAAAGGTTTGAGTCCACATTATTAACGGAGTTAGCCTAGACAAAGTTCCCATAGCACACGTTTGGTATCCAAAATCTCATATGTGGCCATCCCGTATAGTCCTAATCACCCAATGCTCGCATCATTATAGAAGATTGTGTAGTAGTTCTGGAGAGCTTAGGGGGCAGTAGATAGATGGTGAAAGGTGCCTATGAGAAAAGCTGTGAGCAGTTGGGCTTATTTGCCCTTGAAAAGGAAGCTGTAGTGAGTTCAAGGCCTGAAGACTGAGTGTTTACTGTTTGGAGGACAGGAATTATCAAATTACCAATTACCAAAGCAACTGTCGTGCAGTAAAAAAAAAACATTGGATTAAAACATCAGAAGTCCTGGGTTCCCATTCTGGTTCTGCTGATTATGAGGCAACTCACTCACCTTCTCTGAGTCTTTGCTTTATTACTATAAAGTAACAGTAATAACACCTACAGTACCTTCCTCATAGTGTTATTGTGAGGATAACATATATATGTGTGTATGTGTGTGTATAGTGCTTTGTTAACCTTAAAACACTGTATAGTCTATATAATAGTAACAAAACCCAGGATAATAGAATAGAATAGAAATAAAAATAGAATAAGAATAAGAATAGAATTTCAATAATAGAAAGGGAAGTCACATTCAAAATAACTGCAAAATGCATAGAGTCTTTAGGAATCATTCTGCCTAAGTAACTCAGTCCCTGTATAGAGTAAATTACAAAATTTGTTTAAAGAAATAAAGAACATGGAGAACTGTTCGGTGTTTGTGGCTGTGCTATGCCAATGTAATAAAACTGACAATATTACCAAAGTTAATTCACAAAAATTTTTGATACATTGATTGGCTTTCCTGAATTTTTTGTCTTTCCTTTTTTGTTATAAGAGATGGCTCTGTAGGAGAGGTGGGAGGAAAAATACAGGGGAAATGCAGGCAACGTAAAGACAAGAAAAAGCAACTGTGTGTGTGTGTGTGTGTGTGTATCTATACATACGTACGTACCTATTTGTGTATATATACATATATGTATGTATCTATGTCTATCTGTGTGTGTGTGTGTGTGTGTATAGATAAATAGATAAGACATATGGAGAGAGAGAGAGAGAGAGAGAGAGAGAGAGAGAACTGAAGTCAGCTTTCAAGCTCTCCTCCTGTAAAGCAAGAGGTCAACAAGACTCTGAGACTCCTTCCAACTCTTTTGTGTTCTAGGAGGGTTTAATTACTGGGGGATTTGGTTGGAATGTGTGAGAGGGGGTCTTAGAAATAGATTTTCATCAGTCTGGGAAGGCTTTTTGCATGTGAGCAGAAGACTAGATTAGGTGACACCTCAAGCACTTTTCTAGCCCGCTCTTATGTTCTTTATGATTGTCAAATTGAGGGATACAGATGGACCTAGCATACACATTCTAAGGACTTTTTTAGATAGTTGAGGGTAAAATAAGTTGAAAGCAGAAAATTTGACTTGAAATATTGAAAAAAATAGTGTTGGTGTCTCAATTTAATAGTATTTTGAAAAGCTTTTCATTTTCAATTTCTGTGGTAAAGGATATAAAGTGCTTTTTAGTCTGAAAGAAATATATAAGTGTCACTACAATACTTGCCTTTATGATATTACCACAAAAACATTTGTTGTTTTGGTTATTTTTCAGAATGATGTAGTTAAGAAGTAGTAGAGATGCTTATATCTGTGGATAATCTGTGGTAGATTATATAGTATGCAAATGTGCTTATTCTCTTTTCTTACCCAACAGCTGGGACACAAGCTGGAGAAGAGATGGCTGTTGTTTCAAAAACCAACATTAAAGAGTACAAAGATAGCTTCTCCAATGAAAGTTTGATTTCCGCAGCCACCCAAATATCACTTTCTTTGTCTATGTCAGCAATTTTACCTGGCCCATCAAAATTCAGGTAACAGTTGCCTTTGGTTGTTGTTACATTTAGCTAATATGGAATTCGTGACAGTTTAATTTGAGAAAGTCTGGTTTACTTTTGTTATGTTTGTTGGAAAAGTGTGTTCTGGGCAAATAAGTCTAACAAAAAGTGAAGATGGGGTAGGCTTGAGCCACTTAATAGAATGACCTATTTTTAATCAATTTATAGAGCTTGATCTGATATATACCATTACCATATCAATCACACAGATATTAATAACAGATTCCAAGTGGTGTACTCATGTTAACCTAGTGTTGCTGTGAACTGAAAAGTAGTTTAAAATTTTATTTTAATATTGAATAATTCAGGCTAGGCCTATCTTTTATTTTGTATTAATAATAAGGCTAAGGTCTAGTTAGACACATTAAAGGAAACTGCATTCTTGTAATTCTCCTTTGCTTACAATGGTTCTCTGCCTGACCAAATTTTAAGTGAGTGGTATATTAGTGAGCCATTTTAATGCAAGAGCAGAGGAATAGATTCCATCTTCTCTCTCATGTTCATTTTATTTTTCATTGAACAAAAAGGATCTAAAGTGGTCACCTCATAGCATTGTCTGCAAATTCTATGGTGTAGTGACTCTCATATATTACTTGCTTAGAAATCGTTTGCAAAATTAAATTAAATTGCTTCTTTTAGTGCCCTGGAAAAAAGATGAGATTGGGTAAGATGACCTTTATTATTGGATAGAGAATTATTGTATAGGTAGCCAGTTGCAGTAGACCTCTAGAGAAGGGCTTCTGACAAAGATGACAGTATTATATGTACAATCAGCCAAAAAAAAAAAGTTGTTTTTCTGATACTTTGAATAATCTGTGATTTCCTTAGTGTGGATGGTCTGTGTGATTTCGTATTGCTTCAAAATTTTAATTAGCTGTCAGCCAGTCTTCTATTGGTAATTTTCTAATGATAATGAAGACAGCTGGTACGCAGATGACAAACCCACAGTCCATCCTTCAGGACTATTCCTGATAGTACTTGGGCTGTGCTTGTAGAGCCTTCAAGAGCCCAGAGTCACGTCTATGTCGTTGTTAGGTATCAGATTGTAATGGAAGTGGCAAAAGGTGACTTTCATCCAATTCAACAAACAAGCGCTTACAGTGTAATACAGCATGGTTTAGTGAAAAGGAATTGTACTACACTTGGAGTCAGAGATTTGGATTTGAAACCTCCTTTGGACACTTCCTAGTGGTAAAGAGTTGACCCAGTACTCAGCCTTTTTTGCTTAGCCAGGATTTTTTTTATTATAGCCGTGCAGTATGAGGAATTATTTCAGACACAAAGAGTCTGAGTGCCTTGATGTATGTCCTCCCTGACTCGCAAGAGGCTTAACGTTTTTTTGTTCTTTGAAGGACCTAAGATCAAACAGGGGGAGTAGAAGATATAGAAGGGCATATAAAATTGAGAGAGAAAATGAGACTATAGAAAGTTGAGTTAGTGACCTCGTGACTGAGTTGTGATTGGAATGTTCTGGAAACAAGTAACACTTTAATAGGTAACTTTAACTTTATTACTGCAGGTTGAGTGAGTGCTTTTGTCTTGTTCTGCCTGGAGTTAGTTAAGATTTCTCATAAGAAAGAAAAATGTTTGGTCTCTTAGAGCAGTGATATCTCATATACCCTACACCTTGTGGTAACAAAATGGTCTCTAGAAGCACAACAGAATTAACAAGGCTAGCGACCTATTTCTACATCCTGCCTTTTTGTACTTCTAGAGCACAAAGGTAGCTATTCTGGAAAGTGGGAACAGATCCTTATAAATCTCCATCAATCCATAGCTGTTTATTAAGTGCTAACTGTGCTCAGTGCTAAGCATTGGGGATGCAGTGACAAAAATGAAGAGGTCTCTGCCCTCAAAGAGCCTATGTTCTGTCAGGAAGACAAAGATCATCTCAAGATGGACCTCTGTTTTTTGAGAGGATTTAAAAACATGGCTGTTTGACAGAAGCATTAGAAGATGCAGCTACCACTAAGGAAGACAATACAAATCAAGTTAGGAAAAAGCTCTTATTCCTGAGATTTGTGGTGAAGTGACTAACTACCTAAGGGGTAAATGTATGATTCAAATTAGGCATGATCTTTTTAATATGAGCCTGGAAATTATAGTGGAAAAGAAGAGGGAAGGAAGAGGTAGGATGGGGAAAATTTTCTCACATAAAAGAGTGAGAAAGAGCATTTACAGTGGAGAAGAAATTGGAGGGGGTGGCAGGCAATGCTTGAATCTCACTCTCCTCAGAATTGGTTCAAAAAGGGAAGAATACACACACACACACACACACACACACACACACACACACACATGCACACGCATACGCTCATGCTTGCTCTCTCTCTCTCTCTCTGTCTCTATTGTGTAAAGAAATCTAACTTACCCAATAGGGAAATAAGAGGGGAAGGGGAGGATAATAAAAGGAAGATAGATTAAGGGAAGCAGTGTTTAGAAGCAAGATAGACTTTTGAGGAGGGATAGGATGAAAAAAGAAGAAACAGAAGAAAATGGAATGGAGGGAAATACATAGTAATCTTAGCTATGAATATGAATGGAATGAATTCACCCATAAAATGGAAGCAGATAATAAAATGGGTTAGAAACCAGAATCTAGCAATATGTTGTTTACAAGGGACACACTTAAAACAGGAAGACACACAGAGTTAAAATAAAGGGCTGGAGCAGAATATGTTATGCTTCATATGAAGTGAAAAAAGGCAAGGGTAGCAATTATGATTTTGGACAAAGCAAAAATAGACCTAATTAAAAGAGACAAGCAGGGAAACTACACTTTGCTAAAAGGTATCAAAAAATTTTACAGCAAGTTTCTCTGAAAAAAGCCTCATTTCTCAAATATATACTGAGTATAGAACTGAGTGAGGTTTCTAAAAATAAGAGCCATTCCCCAATTGATAAATTGTCAAAGGATATAAACGGCAGTTTCCAAAAAAAGAAATCAGAGCTATCTATAGTTATATGAAAAAATACTCCAAATCACTTGATTAGAGAAATGCAAATTAAAACAGTTCTGAGTTACCACCTCATACCTGTCAGAAATGACACTCTGGAGAGGAAAAATAGGTACACTAATGAAGTAGGAACTGGAGAGCAATTTGGAACTGTGCCCAGAGGGCTATCCAACTGTACATACCCTGTGACCCAATAATACTACTACTAGGTCTATATCCCAAAGAGAGCAAAGAAAAACAAAAAGGACCTGTATGTGCCAAAAATATTTATAGGAGTTCTTTTTATGGTGGCAAAGAATTAGAAATCAAGGGGTTACTTTTAGGAAATGATAAGGGGTGTGATTTCAGAAAAACATGGCAAGACCTATGTGGACTGATACGTAGTGAAGTGAGGAGAACCAGGAGATCATTGTGCACAGTAACAGCAATGTTGTAATGATGATAACTGTGAAAGACTTGGCTGCTCTGATCAAAACAGTAACCTAAGAAAATTCCAAAAGACTCATGATGAAAAATGGTATCTACCTTCAGAGAGAGAACTGATGAATTCTGAGAGCAAATTGAAGTATAAGTTAATTATGTTGATTATTTTCCTAATGTTGAACCATCCTTGCATTCCTAGTATAAATCTAAAATGGTCATAATGATTGACTTCTTGATTGAATTGCTATAGTCTGTTTGACAACATTTTATTTTAAAATGTTCAATTGATATTCATAAATAATATGGTTTATGTATCGTAAATGATATAGCCTATAGTTCTTTGCTTTATCCTTCCCTGCTTTAGCTATTCGGGCTTTATTTGTTTCATAAAAGAAGCCTGGTCTAGTGCTTTATTTCTTAATTTTTGAGAATAATTAGTGTAGCATTGTTGCTAATTGTTCTTTAAAAGTTTGATAGAATTCGCCTGTGAAGACCAGAAATCAGGACCAGAAATTCTTTTCTTTAGTTGTTTTTTTTATCAGTTCATTTTTTAAAGAATTGATTTTTATCAATTACATATCAGTTATTAATGTTGAGGTATATTTTTGTGGGAAGTCCTATTTGAAAGTTGTTGGTTTTATTTCTTTTAAAAATTTGATGTGTTATTTTGAAACTAACAAACTCCAAATAAGATGAGCATTTTCATATACAAAGCAGAGAAGTAAAAAGAGGACTGCATGTGCAGCCACCTCTGCTCCAGGTCCTGTTTGCTTCTCCCTTTAAGTGTACAGTACATTTAAGGTGTTATTTTCAAAGCCTTCCTTATCTGTGTTCCCTACTCACCTCCCTTTTGTTCCCTTCTGTGCATTTAAAAAAATGCTGCAGTGATTCTTTTTTCTTACTTTTCTTTTAAAAAAATTTTAGTAACCCTACTCACGTGCCCTCTTCCCACCTCAGCCACTGTCCTAAATTGAAAGAAAGAAAAACAAAACCTTTGTGTCAGCTATCCGCACCCAAAATCAATCTCCAAATTGGCATTGTTCAAAAAATGTCTCATTCTGTACCTTGAGTTCACCACCTTGCTGCTAAAAGGTGAGTAGTGTGTTGTTTCACTACTTCTGAAACTGTGGTTGATCATTGCAATGATCAGAGTTCTTAACTCTTTCAGTTATTTTTCTTTACAAAGCTTGTTATTATATAATTTTTCTTTGGGTTCTACTCATTTCACCTTGCATCAGTTCTTGAGTCTTCCCTGGTTTGTCTGAAACTATCCTGTCATTTCTTAAGGAGCAATAGTATTCCATTACCATAATTTGTTCAACTCTTCCCAAATTCCCATGGTTTCCAGTTCTTTACTGCTATAAAAAGAACTGCTATAAATCTTTGTATACACATGGGTCCTCTTACTCTTTTCTTTGATCTCCTTGGGTTATAGGCTTAGTAATGGTATCACTGGATCAAAGGGAATGCACAGTTTAGTGACATTTTGGGTAAAGTTCCAAATTGCTTTCTAGAATGGCTTCACCGATTTATAGCTCCATTTGTTGGTTCTATTTCACCAGAGTATCTAATATCTGTTTTAAAATAATCATCAAC